GAACACTAGGACTGCCAGGACTTCACAGAGAAACCCTGTCTCAAAAAGAAAGAGGGTGGGGAGAGCACACACCTTTAACCCCAGCCATGGGGTGGAAGAGGCAGATAGATCTCTGAGTTTTAGACCAGCCAGGGTTGTATAGTGAGAGACCCTGTGTCAAAAACAAGCAAAAGAAGGAAGGGAGGGAGGGAGGAAGGGAGGGAGGGAGGGAAATTATAGACTTCCTCCAGTGTGGATGGACTCTGAGGATATTGAAATAAGCCAGTCACGAAATGCTAGCAAGTCTTGTCCACTTGACATAAACTAGAGTTACCTGAAAGAGGGAACCTCAGTTGAGAGAATGCTTCAGTAAGATCAGATGTAGGCCATTTTCTTTCTTTTTAAAAATAATTTAATTATTATTTTTGTTTTATGTGCGTTGGTGTTTTGCCTGCATGTATGTCTGTATGAGGATGCCAGAACCCCTGGAACTGGAGTTAGTGGGTGCTGGGGATTGAACCTGGGTCCTCTGGAAGAGCAGACAGTGCTCTTAACCCCTGAGCCATCTCTCCAGCCCATAGGACATTTTTTAAATTAGTGACTGATGAGGAAGGTCCCAGACTATAGTGGGTGGTGCCATCTCTGGGCTGGTGGTCCTGGGTTCTATAAGAAAGTAGGCTGAGCAAATTATGAGGAGCAAGCCAGTAAGCAGCACCCCTCCATGGTCTCTGCATCAGCTCCTGCGTCCAGGATCCTGCCCTGTTTTAGTTTCCGTCCTGACTACCCTCAGTGATGAGCAGTGATATGGAGCATAAGTCATAAACCCTCTCCTCCCCAAGTTGCTTTGGTCATGGTGTTTTATCACAGCAATAGGAACCCTAACTAAGACACACAGAAACACAAGTGGGGTGTGATTCTGAGGAACTTGCCTGGCTCCATTTTGAAGGCAGGAGCCAATATGCTGTATTGTTAAAAATAAGTTCCTACTCACTTTGAGAGTTGAGTTGCTCTCTGTTTCCAGGAACTTGACCTTTCCCAACCCATGATCTTGACTTGTCTGTGAGAATACCCTTACTCTCTTTGCCCCTCCCTAATCACATGGTGACTACATTGAAGGGTCCAGAGTAAGTTTGAACCTACCCAGCTTCTTCTATTGCTTGACCCTTGCCCTATAGTCTCAGTCACAGGGAGAACAGTTGGTTAAAAATTAAGACAAGACCCCAGCTGTGTCAAGAGCTGTATTAAGATAACCACAGACTTGAGTAAGCAAACCCCCTGTTAAGCTTGTAAAAACACCTTGTTATCACAAATTGTACTACTAATTGTAAAGTGTTATCACAAGTTGTAAATTCCCAGAATGTACCATCACCCAGGACATAAGCTCAATAGTAAAAATTATTTTTTTTATATCACCTCCCTACTTATGACTTTTGCTTTAAAAAAAGACCTATTCTGGGGTCACAGAGCCAGATCTCGACGTGCCTGTGGCCCTAACTAGTTAGAAGTTCTGGTAGCCCACGTTGACCGAATAGTTACTTCTGCTCATCTAACTTTGGTGATCTTCAATATTTCGAGATTCCCAGGCCCAACACACATGATGTTTTCTGGAGATTTTTTTTCTGTATTTCCTTATCTCTCCATTGTCTCTCTTCTGTATACCTGCTTTGCAACTACTTATGATTTTACTCCTTAAAAGGGGCCCAAGAGATGGATTCGGGACTGCTCTCTTTAACCCGACTTAGGAGGCAGTCGCTGGCCAGCTCTTGGGTGCACCCCAATAAAAATCAAGCTTGCTTCAAATTTGGTTCAAACTGACGTAGTGGTCTTATTCTTGCCAGTGGGATTAATAAATGCAGATCCCAGAGAGGAAGGGAGAAAGTTGGTAAGAGAGGGGAGCAGAGAGCCGGACTCTTAGCTTTTCAGTTTACAGGATGGAAAGAGTCAGGGAGATGAATCTGTTTATACAGATTATTAGTATATTTAATGCAAATTTAGAGATGGCAGAGAAGCCTGAACACACCGTTCACTGTCGATAACCACAACGCAGCAGGGCACAGTGTCACTGTGGGACCAGGCAAAACTAATGCCATTTTAGACTTGACACCATTTTGAGAAACCCCTGACTGGACCCTGAAAAAAATTGCTTCAGGGCCCCTCATCCCTCTGAGACAGCCAGTTATGGGACTAACAGACAGCTTATCATGGTCACCAGGGCCAATCGGCCAGAGTCACCCCCTACTCCAATTAGATAACGCCAAGGCATGCACCGACCTCGGCTTGTGCTTTTTTCCTTTATAAGCCCGCTCCCTTGCTGTTCCGGGCCCGCCCCCTCACCCGCTGCATCAGAGTGCTGCTGGACGGCCTGAACTCGAGTTCGCTTACAATAAAACCCTGTGTGTTTGCAATGGTACCTGACTCTGTGGTGGTCGTGTTTGCGGGTCCAGCGTCAAGGGCGTAACATCACATGCCTGTGATCACAGTGCTCAGGAGGCTGTCGGGGGGCGCTCGAGTTCAAGTTCGGCCTGGTTTACCTAATAAGAAAGTGTCTCACAAAGCAAAGCAAAGCAAGCTGGGCAGTAGTGGTGGCCCACGCCTTTAATCCTAGCACTAGAGAGCGGAGGCAGGCAGATCTCTGTGAGTTTGAGGCCAGCCTGGTCTATTGAGTGAGTTACAGGTCAGGCAGACAACCCTGTCTTGAACACCATTCCCCGGAAAAAAATATAAATAAATAAACAAACTACTTTATGGGGCTCCTGGCAAGATAAAATGTAGTTTCTGTAAGAAACTTAATGGGTACCCAAAAACAAGGACAGAGCCAAAGAAATGATATCACCACTCACACTGCATTTTTTTTTTTTTGGTTTTTTGAGACAGGGTTTCTCTGTGTAGCTTTGTAGCCTATCCTGGCTCTCACTCTGGAGACTAGGCTGGCTTCGAACTCACAGAGATCCGCCTGCTTCTGCCTCTCTAGTCATGGGATTAAAGGCAGGCGCCACCTACACCCAGCCTCACTGCATTTCTTTATTATATTTATTTGTATGGTGTGTGTGTGTGTGTGTGTGTGTGTGTGTCTGTGTGTGCGCGCGCACGCGCCCCTAGTACAAGGAGTCCAAAAGGGGACATCAGATCCCTGGGAACTAGAGTTACAGATGGTTGTGAGCTAGCATGTAGGTGCTGGGAACTGAACCTGGGTCCTCTGCAAGAGCAGCCAGTGCTCTTAACCACTGAGCCATCCCTGCAGCCTATCCCTCTCTGCCTTTTGATAACATATAGGATGACTCCAGAGAAATGTACTTGGAGTTACAATCTTTTGGGAAAACTGGAAACTGCTGAGTTGCACAAGGGCTCAGTGTATGTCCTTTCCTTGTCACTGGGGCTTCTAGTGAAGGTCCTAGAGAACTGGGACTTTTTGAATGAGCCTCTTCCTAACACCTGTGTGTTTACCTTAATAAGAAATCACGGGCTTGGGGGCTGGAGAGATGGCTCAGAGGTTAAGAGTACTGACTGCTCTTCCAGAGGTCCTGAGTTCAATTCCCAGCAACCACATGGTGGCTCACAACCATCTGTTATAAGATCTGGTGCCCTCTTCTGGTGTGCAGATATACATGGAAGCAGAATGTTGTATACATAATAAATAAAACCTTAAAAAAAATCACTACACTCTCTACAATAACTATACCATTGTGTATTCTCCTTGCCAATGTGTGAGTAGTCCATTTTCTCCTCATCCTTCCCAGCATCTGGTTATATCACTCTTATTTATTTATTTATTGGCTTTTTGGAGACAGGGTTTCTCTGTGGCTTTGGAGGCTGTCCTGGAACTAGCTCTTTTAGACCAGGCTGGTCTCAAACTCACAGAGATCCACCTGCCTCTGCCTCCCGAGTGCTGGGATTAAAGGCGTGTGCCACCAATGCCCGACCTCATTTTTATTTTAACCACCCAACGAATTTAAAGTGATATTATGAGGTTGTTTTGTTTTGCTTTGTTTGTTTGTTTTGTTTTTCCAGACAAGGTTTCTCTGTGTAGCCCTGGCTGTCCTGGAACTCACAGAGATCCATCTGCCTCTGCCTCTGCCTCCCAAGTGCTGGGATTAAAGTCATGAGCTGAAGTTTTTCCTACCGTGTCTTCTGACTCCTTGGACTTGGGCTTGGTGCATTTTCTGACTCCCCTTTTGTTTTATGACTCCCCTTTTCTTTTTAAATGTGTCTACTTCTGATTGAAGTGTTAATTCCCATTAATGATGTTACATTGTGTCCATTGTTTTCCATGGCAAGTTCAGCCAGTCAGTCCGCTTCGCACAAAGGTAGGACAGACATCCTCCAGGTGGGGGCGCTGTCACACATTCTCATTTCAGGACAGCTGGTTACTGAGCCCAGAGCCTCTGTGGTGAGCACCGATTCACCTGCACAGACATATGTGTATCTAAGGACACGTCGATTGTTTTACCCCATGTGCATTCATTCCTCCAAAGAACTCTGAATGAACCTCAATAACCACAAGCGTGTACATGCTTCATTTTCTTGGTTCACACTGCCCCCTTGAGAGCCAGGACTGTGGGAGGACAGCAAGCTCGTTCATCTTTGAGCGTCAGTCTTCCTCATCTGCAGGGACAAACATCACGGGCTCTAATGCCACTCGTCCACCTGCAGCTGTCTGACCCGGAGACATCAATGACCCATCTGATCTTGTGTCCCCGTCGATTCCAGGCTCTCTCTACACTTGGGGCAGCTGGGAAATTAGAGATGAAGGGCGCCAAAATCCAAGCCCACAACTAGAAACCCGAAGCTTTGACTGTCCTCTCCCGTCCTGAATCGAGAGAAAAGAACCCAGGAATCCCCACCCAGAATTCACGCCTCCTTCACACAAGAGTCAAACCATTAGTGCAGCTGGCAGCAGCCGCTCCAAGCTCTGGGATGGAGTCGGTGGGATGGAGAAGCCTGGGGCTACCCTAGAGGCGTCTGTACTGCCCCTCAAAGCGCTCGGCACCCGCCTCCCCCTGCCATCAGTTACTTTCTCTTTCTCTTTGCGATCCCCTTCGGCCGCTGTACCGAGAAGCAGGTCTCTGCCATGCCAGGTTACAGAGGATAGGAGGGAAGGTGGAAAGGAGCCTGCGGGGCTCGATCGCCCAGAGCCCTCCCATTCCGGGAGCTGAAGCAGGAAGAGGGTGGGGCCTTTACTCACATGGCCCAGGAGGTCACTCGTACTTCTGGGGTCTCCCAAAGCCAGGGCCTGTACACAGGAAATGCAGCCCCAGCGCGAGGGGCCCAGAACTGGGATGGAACCAGCCTGCCTGGGATGCTGCCATCGCAAACCCTATTCACCGATCAGGTAAGGCTGACCCCGTTACTCCAAGATTTCCTCTGCAGTCTCTTCCTGGTAGCCCCCATTGTGCTATGTGCTGGGCCTCTCCTCCAGGGCCCCAGCCCTGAGGCTCCTCTCTCTCTCCATGGTCCTCTGTAGCTCCCACTCCCTTCCAAGATCCTTGCTCTGAGCACTGACCACTGCGGTCGCCTCACAGCTTCTTCTACACTGGCCCCACTGCACCCCTCTCCACACCGTCCATATTACTTCCTGTTAAAACTCCTCCTCAGGCTGCGGCTGCTCGACTGTGGGTCTTCCTGCTCACCCTGAGCTGGCCTGGGCGTCAGAATTTAAAGAAAAGTCCATGGAAGCAAACTTTGGACTATCCTGTTTGAAGCACTTTCCATGAATGTTCTAGGCTATCCATGCTGTGCTAACCCAACCTGAGGGATGCTGGGAAAAGAGGGGACCACTCTCTATGACGATGTAAATCACCTTTCCAAAAGTAGCCCCCCCCCCCGGAAAGAAAGAGTGAAAAGAGAAGATCCCCAACACATCCACTGCCTGGATGGTCACTGTGACCTCTCACGACACCATTCAGATAACTCTGAGAAAAAGAATAGGGAGTGCGTGGGATTGGCACTGGAGACATGGTCCAGCAGTTAAGAACGCTGGCTGCTTCCACAGAGGACCCAAGTTCAATTCCCAGCAAACAAACACATGGTATGGCTCACAACCACCTGCATCTCCAACTTCAGGGGATCCAAGGTCCTCTCTGAACCTCCAGGCATCCCAGCACAGGCAAGCCTCAACATACTTTTACAAATGACCCCACAGAAGAGATATTTAATATACTTATGCTTTAACACACACACACACACACACACACACACACACACACACACACACACACACACACACACAAACTTGACTGCTTGGGGTGCAGGAGGGCCAGTCGTTTCCAGATGCTGACCACTTTTCACTCCTCCATTTTCTCAGCAGTATACCTGGTGTATCTTCTACTTGGCTATGTGTACAATGTGTGTGTGTGTGTGTGTGTGTTTGGAACATTCACCTTTCCCTGAACAACTTTATTCTGTCTAGTGATGGGTAGGCCTGTGTAGAGCGACTGCCAGGAGTGGACTCAGCAAGGCATATCACAGAAAAGCATGTCTTTAATCTTCAACAGAAAGCTCCTTGCCAGACAGTATTCTCCCCGCACTCAGAGCTCCCGAAGCCAGGTATAGGCACTTATCTGTTAATAGCCGTGGCCCATGTGTGGCCTTGTAACCAAGCAGGGATGTCACCTCTTCTCTCAGTGACAGAGATAAGACTCTCATTCTTCTGACCAGTAGTTGATTAAATCTGGGTCTTCCAGCCCTTTATTCTACAGGCTGCTGACTATGAGGGAGGGGTCCAGCCTGATGAATCTTGTTCCACCTTGACTTAAGGTCAGGGAGTTTAAATCTATATTCTTGCTCCTCAAGGCTAAACGACAGGATGTTTGACCTAAGGTGAGGCTATTGGATGTCTTTACCCTTAAAACCAAATCACAGGATGTTTGGCTTAGGGCGTGGCTACTAGATGTTTTGAGTGTTTGGGAGGTAATTGCATTTGTTTGTTCTTTTATCATGGTAAGGAAGTCTTTTGACCTCCCCTTTGGACTGGGGTACATAAGTAATAAACTTGAGGCACCTGCAGTATTCACGGAGTGTCCCCGCTCTATCTGCTGTCTCTTTCTTTTCTCCTCTTCACTCCCTCTTTTCAGGCATGTTTGAGCTCTCCCAGTCCTAACAACATCATGGAGCAGCTGCCCTAACAAAGGACCCAGCTCTTACCCTCCCAGATCTATGATAGGGAGCTCTGCCTCCTGGGTTTTTGATTGTTACCGTGTTGTGGGATTTTGTGGGGGTGGTAATTTGGCTGCTTTTTGTTTTTTTTTTTGTTTTTTTGGTTTGTTTTTGTTTTTTCAGATAGGATTTTGCTATGAAGCCCTGTCTAGCCTGCTACTCACTATATAGATCAAGCAGGACTCAATCTTGGAATAATCCTCCTGTTCCTGCTCCCCAAAGGCTATAGTTACAGGCTTGGGCTTTCCCTGTCTATTAAATGGGAATATGTCCTGCAGGGTCATGGAAGGACTTGGTGAGTTCAGACCCGAGAAATGCTGAGACAGTAGATTATATGAAGTTAGGCATTTCTCTGACAGTGTATGTGTGCGTGGGAGGGGTTGTATATGTGTGCTTGGGGCTGGAGAGATGGCTCAGTGGTTAAGAGTGGTGACTGCTCTCTTCCAGAGTTCCTGAGTTCAATCCTAGCAACCACATGGTGGCCATGCCATCTGTAATGAGATCCGGTGCCCTCTTCTGGCCTGAAAGCCAGAGGTTGATGTCAAGTGTCTTCCTCAGTTGCTCTCCACCTTTTTTTTTAACTAGGGTCTTTTACTAAAACAAGCTTCGGATTCCAGCTGGCCAACCAATGAGCTCCTGGGATCCTCCTGTCTCTGTTAACCCAACTCTGGGATTATAGATGCATACCCCAGGCTTGGCTTTAACATCTGCTCTGAGAATCGGGACTTGTGTGCAAACACTTTACTGACTGAGTCATCACGCCAGTACCATTTCCTTGATTTTTAAAACCTCTGTACCCTGCAGAGGTGTCAAATCAGGAAAGAGCTGGGGTGAAATGCTAAAAGTTATTGCTCATGGGTGGAAGAGTTTTGTGCCTTACATGTTATCAGGTTTTTACATGGAAGGATCAGCACCGGGACATGGGTAGAAGGGCACCCCTCTGGCAGTACAGTTTTCTCTTCTCTCCTCTAACTTCCTGCTTGGAAAGACTACAGAACTTATCAAAGATTGAGGGGAGGCAGTGTCTCCGGCCTCCAGGGGCCTTGTTCTGCTTGGAGTCACTCCAGGGCACACTCTGCAATTTCTGTTTTCTCTCTTGTGCCTGCAGAAACCCGATAAAGATGTTATATCAAAGAACATTCTACTTCCACTTTAAGAACCTCCGCTATGCCAACCTTCGAAAGAATACCTTCTTGTGCTACGAAGTGAATAGGATGGAGTGCAATGAACTTGTCCCCCTTTGCCAAGGGGTCTTTAGAAAAGAGGTATTAGGGTTGGGGGTGTAGCTCAGTTGGTAGAGTGTTTGCCTAATGTGCATGGAGTCCTGGATTTAATCCTTGGCAACACAGATAATCCAGGCATTGTGGCTCATACTTGTAATCCTAGCACTCAGGAAGTGAAGACAGGAAGACCAGAAATTCAAGATCATCCTTGGTTATGTAGAGTTTGAGGCCAGCCTGGGCTATGTGAGATCTTGTCTAAACCAACAAATCAATAAATAGTAAGTAAATAAATACCAAGAGGCTGCAGAGGGGTGCCACAAAAGCATGAGGGCCAGAGTTTGGATCCCAGGCATCCATATAAAAACTGGGTGGACATAGAGGGCAGCTATAACACCAACCTATAGGAGGCAGAGCCAGGGAAGCTCCAGGGCAAGCTGGTCTCTGGACTAGCTGAGTTGTAAAGTTCTGGGTGCAGTAGGGGACCCTGCCTCAAGTTAGAGAGTGAATGAGAAAAACATCCAGTGTCAAATTCTAGCCTCCACATGCACATGGTCCAGCACATGCACACACACACACACATACACACCAAAAACCAAAACAAAACCAAAATAGATTGTTTAGGCTCTTCTCAGAACAGTCAGGAGCTCAGCCCATTGAATATAAAATGATTAATGTGGCTGAGCATGGCGGTGCACACCTTTATTTGTTCCAGCCCTTGGGAGGCAGAGGCAGGTGAATATCTGTGATTTCAAGCCTGGTCTACACAGCCAGTTCCAGGTTATTCAGGGTTACATAGTAAAACCTTGTCTCAAAAATATAATAATATTATTAAGCGGTGGTGCATGCCTTTAATCCCAGCCTTCAGAAGTTCAAGGCCACACTGGTCTACAGAGCTAGTTCCAGGACAGCCAGGGCTGCTCAAAGAAACCCTGTTTCAAAAAACCAATAAATAAATAAGTAATAAAAAATTTTTAGAGGGAACAAAATGACGTGTATTGCGCACATGCTGTAAATGTTATTTCAGCGAGCCACATTTCAAGATTCAGTAGCTAACCTTGGCCAGCTGAGGGGACACCTCAGCCCATGCCCTTGCCAGCCCATATGGCAGATGATATCCAGCTGCCCCCGTGGACTTGGTTCCGGCCGGGTCAGAGTGCTACTGAGAGATGCCCGGGAGATGCAGAACAGATGTGGGGTTGGTAGCTAAAGCAAGAATGGTGAGGGATGCAAAATTAACGAAGGAGGTTGGGGAGGGATTGAGACACAGAACCAGTCAAGTGCCAGAGCCCTCATCCCGTCCGTCCGTGTGCAGCCTGCTCCCCCTCCCATCATGCGTCCCCATTTCTCCCCAGAGCATCAACCTCCATGCTGAAGTGTGCTTCCTCTACTGGTTCCACACCCAAGTGCTGGGGGTGCTGCCCCCTGATGAAAAGTACAAGATCACCTGGTATGTGTCCTGGAGCCCCTGCAATGAATGTGCAGAGAAAGTGGCCAGCTTCCTGGACACACACCGCAACCTGAGCCTGGCCATCTTCAGCTCCCGCCTCTACTATTTTTGGGATCCGGACTACCAGGACAAGCTTCGCAGGCTGAATCAGGCAGGAGCCCAGATAGCTGCCATGGACTTCCCAGGTGAGGGCTGGGCATCGGGGCTGCAGGAAGGTCTGTGGCTCTGCCATACAGTGAAGGGGAGCAGCCTGGGAACCTCCTGCTGGCTCCTGACTGCCTTCTCTCCTCTTCTGTCTCAGAATTCGAAAAGTGTTGGAACAAGTTTGTGGACAATGATGGCAAGTCATTCAGGCCTTGGAAGAGACTTAAAATAAATTTTAGATTCCAGGATAACAAGCTTCGGGATATTCTCAGGTGAGGAGCTTTCTCATGCCTGGCCACCTCCCTTCTTTCTCCTCCCAGACCTCCTCTTTCTCTGGGGCATCCTTACCCACAAGGCCCTTCCCACCCCTTAACATGGTGTCTCCCGTCATATGATTGAATCCAGTTGCTAAAAGGAAGCAAATTGATGTATGTATGAGCATGGAGATGAGAAGGTAGAGAAACTCCAACAAAGCAGCCTTGAGGGGCTGGAGAGATGGTTCAGCAGTTAAAAACATTGATTGCTCTTTCCAGAGATCCTGGGTTCAATTCCCAGCACCCACATGGCTGCTCATAACTCTATCTCCAGGTCCAAGGGAATCTGGTACCCTCACACAGACATGCATGCAGGCAAAACACCAATGCACACAGAGTTTTTTTTTTTTTTTTTTTTTTTTAAGGCAGCTGTTAGCAGTAGTGGCACACATCTTTAATCCCAGCACTCAGGAGGCAAAAGCAGGCAGATCTCTGAGTTCGAGGCCAGCCTGGTCTACAGAGAGAATTCCAGGATAGCCAACGCTACACAGAGAAACCCTGCCTCATAAAACAAAAGGCAGCCTGGGTGCTCAGAGAGGAAGGAAGAGGCTGTCGGATCCCCAGCTGCCGTGATATCACCTTCCAGATGCTAAGCCAGACCAATGTGCTCTCTCTAGGTCCAAGAAGTTGACAGCAGTTTTTTTCTGAGGCTCTCCCCTGGCTTGTAGATGGTCCCTTTTTTTTTTTTTTTTTAAGATTTATTTATTTATTATGTATACAACATTCTGCTTCCATGTATATCTGCACACCAGAAGAGGGCACCAGATCTCATAATGGATGGCTGTGAGCCACCATGTGGTTGCTGGGAATTGAACTCAGGACCTCTGGAAGAGCAGTCGGTGCTCTTAACCTCTGAGCCATCTCTCCAGCCCCTAGATGGTCCCTTCTTGTCCGGCATCTGTGTACTGTGTGGTCCTTCTGTCCTAACAAGTCCCCTCTTCCTGTAAGGCTTGCATTAGGACCCACCTAAGTGGGTCCATTCTGAATCCTGACCACACCCTGACAACCCCTTCCATCTAGACCTTACTGCACCTGGAGCTTTTCCTATTGTCCACTCACCCTGTCAAAGATCTGTCTAATGTCTCCTAGAGATCAAGTTCTGGGTGGGGTGCAAGTGAGCCATGGGGACTGAACAAAACACTTCCATTAAGAGGCTGAGGAGAGAGGGTTGAGGAACAGGATGGGTAAAAGTAGAGGCAGGCTGGTACAATGGCTTGGTGGGCAAAAGGTGCTTGCCATGCAAGCCTGGGACATGAGTTTGATTCCTGATTTCTGGAATCCACATAAAGGAGGAAGGAGAGAAAACGCTAGAGTTGTCCTCTGACCTCCAGATTTAGGCCATGGCAGATATACACCTACATCACATACATGAGCACACACACATATACATAAATAATAATAATACAGTCAAATACTTTAAGTTGTTTTGTGGAGTTTTGTTTTTTTGGGTTTTTTTTTTTTTTTTTTTTTTGGTTTTTCCTTAAGAGTAGAAGGCTGGCCAAGAGGAACAGCCAGGGAATGCACGTCTGGCACTGGGCAGGATGGGAAGTGAGACGAGGAGCCAGGTGTTTCGGGGAGGCTCAGGGAGCATGCTCACAGACTGGCCAGGGACAATAGCTCTTGGTGTCCCCTGCCATTTAATGGCACCATGAGAAGCAAGAGCTCAGCTTGACTCAAGTGACTCCAGGCATACAGACAGTGGCAGGGACACCATGAGTCCCATCTTCCTCTGAGCTATTGGCATGTCATTTGAAGGCAAGAGGTCCTCTGGCTGGGTTCCATGTCTGCCTTCCAAATCTCCCCCAAAGGGAGAGGTACAGAGGGGCCCCGATGTGGCTCCAAGTTCCACTGTCCAGTCACCAACATTGTCCCTCATGAGCTAGACTGTGTCTTTCTTGTGTTGGAAGATGCTTAGACCTGTCCTTGAGACATGCCCCCAGGTGTCCAGTAGCTGCCAGAGCCTGGCATGGCTTCCCTGGCAGCATGTCTCCTCTCTTCCCGTGGCTCACAGGGTTGGTGTTTTCTGTCCCTCACAGTGCCTCTCAAGGCCAGAGACCTGAGAATTCTCTAGAGAGAAACCAGAGTTCTACCCTTTGATGTGGGACTCACCTCAGCCCTCTGACTTGGATAAGCTGCCAGTGTACAGACTGTGGAATCTTCCTCAGAAGCTGGCTCCAGGACATTAGGACAGATGTGGGTGGAGGGTGGGGGCAAGGGAGCAGTGCCTCTAATCTTGCCTGAGCTTCTGTTAATGTCAGGAATGGAGCCAGGGCAGGATGGAGGCTGAGAGTAGGGAGGAGGTATGGAGGGCAACTGTGGGGAGAAGGTTTCTGGGGACTCTGGGTCTTGTGAGAGCCAGGACCTGAGTAACATCCTTCACAGAATGTTCTTTGTATTTTCTAATCTGAGGATCCTTGGTTGAGACTTGCCAAAGCAGGCAGGCAGTTTCAGGAATGTGAACTGGAAGTCCATGTCCTTGTATCTTAGACCTGGCAGGGCCTCTGGGAGCCACCTCCTCCCCAGTCCCTCCTCGTGCTACTTTCCTGAGAACAATGGGGACCACAGAAGCAGCAGCTGGAGGAGGAGGGAGCATAGTTGAGCAGACCTGGCCACACTCCAGCCATGTTCTTCATTTGCTGTGTTGACCTGGTCTGAGATGTCAGAGCCGTGATATGCTCCCCCACCCCAATACCTGTATTGTTGGTGTAGCAGATAGGACAGAGGTGCTAACTTCTCCAGGAAGGTGAAAACCTGTACTCTGAATCACACCAAGTGCCAGTTGGGAGTGAGTGAAGAGGGCTCCATCTGCCCTTCCCCCTTCCCAATCCAGCTCTGTACCCACTTCCTTTTCTGGCATTTACTTCCTCTTTCCTTTTGGATCCCTGCATGGGGAGACCTGTCCCCATCCTAGGCTCTCCTTTGCCAAATGAGAGGACAACAGGAAGGAGGGTGAGCATGAGACTGAGCCAGCCTAACTGCCCTGGGCCCTCCTGTTCCGGGGTGGGGCCTGTACATAACTATCAGGGTCCCTTAGACAGAGCCTCCTGGGCAGGAAGTGGAGCCCCAGACCCAAGGACCCAGAGCAGGGCTAGGACCAACCTGCCCAGGATACCCCACAGGATGCCCCAGGACAGGTATGTGGGAGGCTGGAAAACAGACAATATTGACAGGCAGGGCCCAAGGAGATTAAAAACAGGAGCACCGTCCTGTTTTTAACCAAGAGACCCTGCTAGGAAAGGATGAGTCACAAACAGGTGTTTTAAGGGCCGAGTCATAAACCAGGGACTTCCCCAAGGCTACAGGTGGCCTCACGAGAGGGAGCAGGACCAGCTAGCTGTTTTGTATCTCCTCCTGCCCCAGATCCACTTCTTCAGAAGCCCCCACTGTTTCCCTAGTTCTGTGCTTCTAGGAGCTTTGTCTTAAATGTTTTCATATATATTTATCATTTTTAAATCAGTGTACAAAATACTGGATTTGATTGTGGCATTTTCACAAATGTATATCATGGTTGGCTATCTCTCTCACACACACACACACCAGTGACTTCTTGTGTCCTCTCCTACTGACCCTTCCTCACACAGTCTCCCTCTAACTTACACACACACACACACACACACACACACACGGACGGACGGACGGACGGACGGACGGACGGACGGACGAGGAAGTGTGTGGTTTTGCGTTTCTGTTTTCTCTCTGGCTTACTTGCTTGGTATCGTGGTCTCCAAATCCATACATTTACCTGAAAAGCACATACGTTCCCCTCCTGGCTGAGAAAAACCCCATCATGTTTATAGGTTCCATTTTCTTCATCCATTTACGTGCTGATGGACACACCCAGGCCGGATCCATGTTTTGGCTTTTGTGGATATTGGGATAAACATGGATGTGCGGTTGCCTCTGTGCCACGGTGACTGAGTCTTTTCCATTTATACTCAGGAGTGGTGTGTCTGGGTCATATGCTGTTTTAATTCTTGGTTGTGCAGCCTCCACGCTGTTGCATAGTAACTGCACTGGTGTGTTTTCCACCCACACTGGGGAGGGGCTTCTTTCTCTACACCCTTTCCTCACCAACACTGGTTGTCATTTATTTTTTGTTTAATTTTATTAGTGTCTTACCAGGTAGCCCTTGCTGTCATCCTCCTGCCTCTGCTTCCCAAGGGCTGGGATTACAAGCATGAGTTATTGCTGATTGAGAAGGAAATGCCATGCAGGTTATGTGGTGTGGGGCTTGTATATGTGTTCATGTGTGTGCAGGTTGGGAATGGCAGAGAGATGCTGGATGGTCTCACTGAAAGGGCCTCACGGGCTGGATCGCCAGCTCCTGTGATAAGCTGTACAAAGCTCCACGGTGTTGGGATTACAGGCCCAAACCTCTATAGCCAGCTTTTACAGGTCCTCGTGCCTGCATGGCAAACATTTCACCAACTTAGTGATCACCCCTATTCTCGGTGTAGTTTGGGTTTGCATTTCCCCCTTGGTCAAAGATGCTGAATATTTTTTCATCGTGCATTGATCCTTTGTACTTCTGTTTTGTTTTTTCAAGACAGGGTTTCTCTGTGTAGCCCTGGCTGTCCTGGAACTCACTCTGTAGACCAGGCTGGTCTCAGACTTACAGAGATCCACCTGCCTCTGCTTCCCGAGGGCTGGGATTAAAGCATGCAGCACCACTGCTCAGCTTAAATCCCTTGTTAGATGTATGACTGACAGATTCTCTCCCATTCTATAAAAGAGCCTCAACCCATTTTTGTGTTGTGTTTGTGTATGGATAAGTGGGTGCGTATGTGCCAAGGAGAACATGTGGAGGTCAGAGGTCAACTTGTGACATAGTGTACCAGATGCTAATGCTATGTGGGGCAGGCAACACACACAGAGTCTTATATAAATAAAAAAGGAATAAAAAAAAATTTAGAAGACCTGCCTAATGCGGGGTGTAGTGGAACAGGTTTTTTTGTTTTTGTGTATGTGTGTATATATGTGTGTGTGACAGGGTGTCTCTGTGTAGCTTTGGAGTCCGTCCTGAAACTCACTCTAACCAGGCTAGGCTGGCCTCAAACTCAGAGATTCACCTGCATACAGACTTTAATCCTAGTACCAATAAGTGGATTTCTATGAGCTCAAAGCTAACCTACTCTACATGGTGAGTTTTAGGTGAGCTGGTGCTACACTGCAAGACTATGTTTTTGTTTTGTTTTGTTTTGTTTTTAAGATTTTATTTATTTATTATGTATACAACATTCTGCTTCCATGTATATCTGCCCACCAGAAGAGGGCACCAGATCTCATAACGATGGTTGTGAGCCACCATGTGGTTGCTGGGAATTAAACTCAGGACCTCTGGAAGAGCAGTCGGTGCTCTTAACCTCTGAGCCATCTCTCCAGCCCAAGACTGTTTTTAAAAATAAAAGATCTGCCTGGTGGGCACAGTCAAAGATGGGCATGAGTAGATTATGGGACCTTGGAGGAGAAAGCATAAATCCTTGAGTGGTTCACTGCTGGATAGGGCTGCCTGCATCACCATCAGCACTTGGGATGCTGTGTGACCCCATCAGAGAGGGTCCATCCTTCCCTGGGTTCTGGATGCCCTTTTTGCCCCTTTATCATCCTTGGTTTAGGTTCATAAGCTTTGGCTGTTGAATACACTGAAGGATAGTTCCACCGGGCTGTTTATGTGCTGCTAATACACAAAGTTCCTGTGTGTTGCTGGTCTGATGGTCATGTGGACTTCATGGGTACTGTCATGCATACATGTACCCATGCCCACACTTCTTGGGAAAGGGAGGGGCTTGGTTTCACATGAGTCTGAGGATTACAGAATGTTACCTTCCAGCAAGATCTGGATCTGGCCAAGATAAGAAAAGCTTGGGGACTGCAGAGAACACTCAGTGGTTAAAAGTGCCAACTGCTCTTGCAGAGGAACCCCTGCACACAGATCAGGTAGCTCATAGTTGCCTGTAACTGCAGTTCAGATCTGACACCCTCTTCCAGCTTCTGTGGGCACCGGCACACAGTGCACAAACACACCTCCCCCATCCATCCTCCACGTAATTAAAGATAAAAACTAAAATCTTTTTTTTTTTTTTTTTTTTTTTTTTTTTTTTTTTTTTGGAGACAGGGCTTCATTGTGCAGCCCTGTCCTGGAACTGGCCTCGAACTCACAGAGATCCGCCTGCCTCTGCCTCTTGAGTGCTGGGATTAAAGGTGTGCGTCACCATGCCCTGCTCACGTAGTAAGGTTTTGCCTGCACTTATGTTAAGTGCGCTAGCATGCACTGCTTCTAGAGGGCAGAAGAGGGCATCAGATACCTTGGAACTGGAGTTACAGAGAGCTACTAGCCCCCATTTGGGTGCTGGGAACCAAACATGGTCCTTTCCAAGAGCATCATGTATTCTTAACCACTGAGACACCTGAAGTCCTTCAGATGTCCCTATAGCCCCAACATGTGGTGAGTTGAGTAGATTTGAATCTTGACAGAGATGCATGGGAGCCAGAAAATAGGGGATCACTGAATACTTGGAAAGTACTGGGTGAGGCAGATGGCTCATGAGATGCGAGTATTTGCTTTGCAAGACTGAATACTGGAGTTCGAATCCCAGTGCCCATGGGAAAAGAATTGTACAAAGCTGTGCGTGTGTCAAAATGACCAGATCCCAGGATCCCACTGGCCAGCCGGCCTAAACTAAATAAGGAGCTTCCAGTTCAGTGGGGGGGTGGGAGATAAAGATAGCCATTGTCCTGCTCTGGCCTCCTCATGGGCACACATGGGTGTGCATGCCCACATGCATGTACCAAACATACAGAAAAGGAGAAGATAGGCAGGCTGTGGTGGTGCACACCTTTAATCCCAGCATTCAGGAAACAGGCAGGTGGATCTCTGTGACTCTGAGGCCAGCCTGGTCTACAGGGCAAATTCCAGGACAGCTAGGGCTGCTATGCAGAGAAACCCTGTCAAAAAAACCAAAGAGGCACGAGGGCATTGGTGGCACGATTTTAATCCCAGCAGTCGGGAGGCAGAGGCAGGCAGATCTCTGTGATTCTGAGGCCAGCCTGGTCTACAGGGCAAATTCCAGGACAGCTAGGGCTGCTACACAGAGAAACCCTGTCAAAAAAACCAAAGAGGCACCAGGGCATTGGTGGCACACTATTTTAATCCCAGCAGTCAGGAGGCAGAGGCAGGCAGATCTCTGTGAGTTGGAGGCCAGCCTGGTCTACAGAGCGTGTTCCAGGACAGCCTCCAAAGCCATAGAGAAACCCTGTTTTGGAAAAACAAAAGGGAGAAAAAAGAAAGAAAGAAAGAAAAGGAGAGGATGCACAATGGCACGGAGGGCCAAGTCACCAGGTCTGGGATTCATACTTCAGCCTGTGACATTACACAGGAAGGTAAGTGCCTTTAGAGTCTAAAAGTCAGATTCGTTACAGTTTAAAAGAAAGCATCCTTGTAGTAAGTCCAAAGGGACATAGGTCGACTGTGCCATGATGGGACTATGGGCTTCACAAAGCTTCCCCTTGGAAGGTAAAGCCACGACTCTAGCAGTGTCTTACTTAATAGAGAAGGCTCCAGGCACAGGGCAGTCAGCCCTCCTGTGAGGAAAGCGGAGGCTCCCCAGTCAATGGAAGATGGAGTTCCCGTCAGAGATCACAGCGTTTGGGGATCGCTGCATTCAAAAGCGTGAGGAAAGGCAGGCAAGAAAGGAAAGCAGGGCTAAGATGACTCCTGGAAACAGGCACCAGTTCCCTCCAGACGAGTTGCCCCTGCCCTCCGTGCCAAGCTCTGAAATTAGGGGTTGAAAGATAAGGAGAAGCATGTTCTGCAGTGTGTCACTGCCACCGAGATGGGGAAGGGAGAGAAAAACTCATGAAACACAATATCCACCCAGGATGAGGTGGGCCCCCTGTGTTTCAACCAGCAATGAAATGAGAGACAGGAAATGTCCCTTCTGCCTTCTGGGCTAAGTGGTTGAGCCACCTTGTCCCAGGCCTTTGGGTCCCACCAAAGAGTCACTTTGGCCAGGAACCATCAGGTGCTCTGTCCTGAGTCCCAGGGCAGAAAGACATTCCCAGAAGAATCTATGCCCTCACTCCAAGGGCAGTGATGGAGCCCAGACACCTGGGCTCTACTGGGGACCAGCCCTGGCCTGAAACATCACTTGTTTCTGACCACTTATGCCACTCACCAAGGTCTTCGAGTGAAGGGAAACAAGAGCAGTGAGGAGGCCGTGTAGGGACAGTGGTGACAGGATGGTGATGCAGACATCAAAAGCAGAGAATAAGTTATCAGACCATCAGGTAGGGCAGTCAGAAATGTGTAGGTGTGCTATATGGGGCTGCTTCTGTGTGGGGTGGTTCTAAGTTGCAGGCGAGCAGTTTGCATCATGTAGCCGTGTCTATTCAAGTTTGGACTTATGGCCAACAAGAACTAGACTTTGTGTCAAAAAATGTCTCAGGTGATGCATTCCTTTAATTCCAGCAGAGGTAGATAGATCTCTGTGAGTTTGAGGCCAACCTGGTCTATAGAGCAAGTTCTAGGATAGCCAAGGCTATATCTACAGAGAAACTCATTCTCAGAAAACAACAACAAAACTATGTTTTGGGCTGGCAAGATGTCTAAGTAGGTAACTGTGCTGCCAACCTGATGAGCCACACAGTAGAAGGAGGGGACCAGCTCCAGCAAGCTAACCTGTCACCGACATATGTGTTATGACATTTATTCGAACATAATTGCACATATGAACACACCCAGAATTAATAAATAGATAAATGTAAAACATTTTCTGAAATGGTTCAGCATGACCATCATTCCTAAATGCCATCCACAGAGAGTATGGAGACAGCATGCAAGGGAGAATTATCCCCCACCCCAATGTACTTACACCTTTCCTCCCCTGCGTCAGAGTTGGGTTAAGACCAGGCTGAGCCCAGGGGTCACATTTCACACCTTCATTTGTTTGTTTCTTGTACAGAAACCCAGTGAGTCTGCTGAGAGAAGACATATTCTCCTTGCAGTTTAACAATAGGCACCGGGTCAAGCCAGTCCAGCATCGATACTACCAAAGGAAGACCTATCTATGCTACCTGCTGGAGCAGCACAATGGCCAGCAGCCACTCAAAGGCTGCCTGCAAAACAAGGTGCCAAATGGATCCTCAGAGCCAGATGGAGAGGCAGCCAGGGGCTTCCCCTCTACAACACATCATGTACACTGTGAGGGTCCCAACTTTCACCTTTTTTTTTTTTTTTTTTTTTTTTTACCCACACATTGGAACTCAGTCTTTCTTGGTGGCCCTGGATCTTTCGAGGTTGTTCCCTGCATTGAGCACACTCCTCCTGCCACCCATGGTGCACTCAATATTTTTTCTTTCTTTGTTTGTTTTTGTTTTGTTTTTTCGAGATAGGGCCTCTTTGTGGAGCTTTGGAGCCTGTCCTTCAACTCCCTTTGTAGACCAGGCCACCACCCCCAGGCTGCAATCAATGTTTTATTTCCCTCCCAGTTTAGCTTTTTTACTGCCTTGGAGAAACAATGCACTGCACACAGTGGCCTCTTCACTTTTGTCTACCAGGCTGTGTCCTGATTAAAACATATTTGAAAAACTGTTGCCAGAGCCAGGCGTTGATGGCTCACGCCTTTAATCCCAGCACTGGAGAGGCAGAGGCAGGTGGATCTCTGTGAGTTTGAGGCCAGTGAGTTTGAAAAAACCAAAAGAAGAAAATAAAAACTCTTGGGTCATCACCCTGAAGTGAAGTCACAGCACTGGGGACCGTGACTTGAACACACCAACCATTTGCTGGCCCCTTTCCTCTGGTCACTTCTGGGATCTTTGGCCGATTTAGAAAAGGCTGTGTACTTTCGGATGTGGAGTTAGTGGGTGAGCGCAGAAAGGAGAGGCTCCCCTTGTGCTAGGCAAGACTTTAGGACTAAACTCACAAAACAGAGCCCCCTATCACATGTCTGGTTCTGCCTTCCAACTCTTCCTCTCTTTGCCTGGACTCCCCTCAGAAAGGCAAACACGCAGAAATCCTCTTCATTGATGAGATGCGTTCGTTGGAACTCGGCCAAGTGCAAATCACCTGCTACCTCACCTGGAGCCCCTGCCCGAACTGTGCCCAGGAACTGGCTGCATTCAAAAGCGATCACCCAGACCTGGTTCTGCGCATCTACACCTCCCGTCTGTACTTCCACTGGAGAAGGAAGTACCAGGAGGGGCTGTGTTGTCTGTGGCGATCAGGGATCCAGGTGGACGTCATGGACCTCCCGCGTAAGAAGGAACCACAGCCACCAGTGGGCAAAGGTTTCCCAACTCCATGGACTAGCCATGCCAGAAGGATGGGGGAGAAGCTGGGCAGGCAGGAAGGGTGCTGCCCTTCCTGAGAACACAGATTTGCCTCCCCCCGGAAGGCGGATTCTATGGAGAGAGAGTAATACCCCGGGAGGGAGGTGGGAGGACGACGGAGGAAGGCCTTCTGCACCACCTGGGGCCTCACTGGCTACCCTCTTTTCCATCTCAGAATTTGCTGATTGCTGGACAAATTTTGTGAACTCCCAAAGTCCGTTCTGGCCGTGGAATAATCTGGAGAAAAACAGCAGGTGCATACAAAGACGGCTCCAAAGGATCAAGGAGGTGAGACAGGTCCCGCCTCCTACTTCAAGCCATTCCTTCTGCAGAATTCGCCCTCCTGCTGCGGGGCTTCCTGCTACAGGCCCGCCCCCCTCTTCCTGGCTGGAACCCCTAGTGTTCATCCTCCCCTTGGCCCTCTGCTCTCTAATCTTTTGTTCTCTCCCACAAGAGCCTCCGCGTTGCCGTCTCTCCCTCAGGCGCCCTCCTTGCCTTTCTGTCCCTTTCTTCCCTTGAACATCCTATTGCCTCTTTCCTCCCTTCGCCACACCCATTGGCACAACCTAATTTCTCTCCACAGTCCCGGGGTCTGCAAGATTTGGTGAATGGCCTTGGAAATCTACAACTTGGACCCCCATTGTCCTGAATGGAAAGAAGAGATTCAAGACAGTCTCTAGCATGTCTTGGCTTCCACCCCAACGCCAGGTCTAGAAGACCTTGCTCTCCTATTTCTTTCTTTTGTCGTTTCTTCTCTCTCTCTCTCTCTCTCTCTCTCTCTCTCTGTTGTTGTTTTGTTTTGTTTCTTGGGACAGGGTCTCACTGTGTAGCATGCTTCTCTGGAACTTGCTACTAGACTGGTCTGGCCTGAGATCACCAGCCTCTGCCTTCTGAGTGCTGGGATTAAGGCATGCACCACCATTCTGGGCCTTGTGTCACCATTCCAGAACTTTCCTTCCTTTCTTTTATTCTCATTTTATATATATTTTTTTTCCATTGATAGGTGCTTAGTTTTGTAATTGAAATTTTTAAGTTGGGCTGGGCATGGTGGCTCAAGCCTCTCTGAGAGTTCGAGGCCGGCCTGATCTATATATTGAGCTCCAGGACTACACAGAGAAACCATGTCTCGAAAAATAAATAAATAAAAAGGAAGAAGAAAAAAAGAAAACAATTAAATTGGGCATGATGGGTCATGTCTGTAATCCAACATTTGAGAGGTTGAGGCAAGAGGATTGCCACAAGTTTGAGGCTACACAGCAGCGAGATCTTGCCTTAAACAAAAAAACAAGAGAACAAACAGTTGGATTCTTGTTTGTTTGTCTGTCTGTTTTGAGACAAGGTTTAAGCTTCCCGAATGCTGGGATCAAAGGTGTGTGCCACCACTGCCTGGCTAGAGCAAATAGTTTTAAAATTGAAAATCCTGAGTTCCTCCCTAAGGAGGTGGACAACCAGGCCCCTCACCAAACAGAGTGAGAAAGGGGAGCTGAGAGATGACTCACAGGCAAGCAAGCTGACTGTTCTTGAAGATCCCAGTCCAGATCCCGGTACCCACCTGCAGCAGCTAACTCAGCTCTAATTCCAGCCCCAGAGTATCTAATGCCTTTTCCTGAACTCTGTGGGCATATATATATATATATATATATATATATATATATATATATGCATAGATACATAGATTAAAGGGGAAAGAACAAAAAGCTTGTGGGGAAGCCTCCCTGTAGACTCCTTGGGTGCTGACAGGAGCGCCTCAGCTGCAACCATAACGAGCACCACCTGTGCCTATTCACTATGTTCCCTTTTAAAAGGGCCCTGCCCACCTCCCATTCTCCCTTTTTTTCTTTTTCTCCCTCTCTGCCCCTTTCTTCTCCCTCTTGCTGCTCCTGTTCCCCCGGAGGCCGGTCTTCCCCTTGCCCTTCCTCGTTTTTATGATCCCTTTCCCTAATAAAAATCCCCTCTGCTTGAACCATGTCACATGGTGTCTTTCTCTCGAGTGCCACATTTGTTAAATTACAACACTCTGTCCTTTCCAAAATCGGTTATGTGTCTAAATAAACAGACTAAGCCAAGCTTGGTGCTGTACCATGGCAATTGTACGTACTGCAGAGGCAGAAGGATCTAAGTCAGATTCAAAGCACCTGGACAGATTTAGGAAGATGTGTCACAGCCAGGAAACAGAAGTGAATGCTGGCACTTCCCCAGCTTCATGTTTCCCTCTTACTCAGTCTAGGACCCCAGCCCCTGGGAAGGTGTCCCCACATCAGGGTGAGTCCTCTCTCTCTGGGAGATGTTCAGTGGGTTAGGTGCTTGCTATGCACCAAAAGGACCTCAGCACCTATGTAAAAGGTGAGGTGTGATATTACCTGCCTAGAACCCTGGTGCTGCTGGGGTGGGTTTGGGGACTTTGGGATAGGATGACTCTGCAGAGATGACTGGCTAGCCAATTTAGCTAAAATGGTGAGCCCTGGGTTCCGTGGAAGATTATTTCTCATTAATCAGTTGCCGGTACTTTTAAAAAGAAGAAAAAAAGCTGGGCAGTGGTGGCACACTTTTAATCCCAGCACTCGGGAGGCAGAGGCGGGCAGATCTCTGTGAGTTCGAGGCCAGCCTGGTCTACATAATGAATTCCAGGCCAGCCAAGGCTACATAGTGAGACCCGGGCTAAAAAACAAACAAACAAACAAACAACAACAACAAAAAACAAATAACAAAAACCCAACCTCTCCTGGAGCTGGAGTTACAGGCATTTGTGTGCTGCCTAAAGTAGGTAGGTGATAGAAACAAAACCCAAGTCCTCTGCAGGAACAGCAAATGCTCTCAACTGCTGAGTCAGCCCTCCTGCCCCCAGAGACAACTTTTGTGGAGTTGGCTCTCCCCTCCTACTGTCATGGGGAGCCCATGCGAAAGCGATTTTGCCTGCTGACAGCTCATCAAATCCACAGCAGCAATATGAACAAGGTGGGATTGATGGCATCTGACAAGCTAAAAGGGGGTTTAATGTCATGACATGAACAACTGAAAACTAAAGCATAACATATTTATACTTTTTTGGTGGTGGTGGTGGTGGTTTTCTTTTGTTTTTTTTTGTTTTTTTTTTTTGTTTTGTTTTTTTTGTTTTTTTTTAGACAGGGTTTCTCTGTGGCTTTGGAGGCTGTCCTGGAACTAGCTCTTGTAGACCAGGCTGGTCTTGAACTCACAGAGATCCACCTGCTTCGGCCTCCTGAGTGCTGGAACTAAAGGCATGTGCCATTACCACCCAGCAATATATTTATACTTTTAAGTGCACCAGAAGAATGTAGGGACTTGAGAGATGGCTTAGTGGTTAGGAGTATTTGCTGTCCAGCAGAGGCAAACAGATCTCCGAGTTCGAGACCAGCCTGGTCTACAAGAGCTAGTTCTAGGACAGGCTCCAAAGCCACAGAAAAATCCTGTCTCGAATCACCCCCCCCCAAAAAAAAAAAAAGAAAAAGAAAAAAGAAAAAACAAAAAGTGTTTGCTGCACTTCCAGAGGACCCGAGTTCTGTTCCCAGTACCCATGTTGTACCACTCACAGCTGCCTGTGGCTCCAGGCCTCCACAGGCATCTGTACACACGTGGCATGCACGGATATCAACACATGCATACTCATAAAGAAAAACAAATAGCCAGGCAGTGGTGACACACAAGCACGCCTTTAATCCCAGCACTCGAGAGGCAGAGGCAGACAGACAGAACCAGGGCTACACAGAAACGCTGTGTCAGGGAAAAAAAAAAAAAAAATCTTTAAAAATTAGCAGTCGATAGGGGTAGAGAAATGGCTCAGACCCAAGTGTGCTGCTTTAATAGAGGACACAAGTTCAATTCCTATCTCTAACTCCTCTTCCAAGGGATCTGCCTCCTCTGACCTCCATGGGAACCTATAGTCATGTGTGCATACACACATACATATGATTTAATTTTAAAAAAAAACAGCAGCCAAATACATGAAGGAAAAACTATTTGAAATCCCAGATTTGGCTGGAGTGGTAATGTTGGTAGCTCAAGGTGAACCATGCTTGGTCTAATCATGTAACCCTCTCCCCCTTGTTTCTCCCAAAGCTAAGAGTGTCAGTATAAGAAGACATCTACTGGGAGAGCACTTAGACTTTAGAGACAGACAGTCAGTCAGATAGACAGACATTGGGCCTATTTGGTTAGATGAGATCTAAACCATTTGTGTGGGTGTAATGTTTTGGTAAATTGTCCCATGCTGTTTGAACTCATTGAAAGTCTGGCTCTGAAGGTGGAGTTGCTTCTCCCCACCTACTTCAGATGCAAGCATGTTTATGCCAAGTGTCCCCCAGGATCCCCAGTCTCTGGATGGGCTGGCCCCATAACCATGAGAGGGAAAAGAGAACCACAAAACAGCCCGAGAGTAAAAACAGTGTCCTAAGGAACAGCTAGAAGAGCTGGGCTACACAGAGACCCTGTCTTGAAAAACAAAAACAATGACCAAAGAACACTAGAAGGTCATCCATCTCCTGTGACAGAAAAGTACCCTAAATGAGGAACAAGTTGGAGGTTCAGCCATGGAGGCAATTGGGAACCCCAGCTGACTGCCTCTACTGCCCCTGTAGGTTTCTGCTGGGTGATGCAAGCACCATATTCAATAATGTTGTCTCTATTTGTTCTTTTTTTGTTTTTAAATATAGGATCTCTTTGTGTAACACCTCTGGTTGTCCTGGAATTCACTCTGTAGACCAGGCTGGCCTCAGACTCCCAGAGATCTACCTGCCTCTGCCTCCCGAGTGCTGAGATTAAAGGTGTGCGCCACCACTGCCAGGGTGATATTCTTTTTTTTTTTTGAAAGCCTTACCAGAGGGGACATTCTGATTCTGCCTGCCCAGGACTCAAGCCTCTGCCTCCTGAGTGCTGAGATTAAAGGTGTGCGCCACCACTGCCCAGGACTCTATGGTGGAAACACAGGTGGCTGCCTTAATGGGGCTTTCCCAGTTGTTTTTTTGCTGGATATTTATAAGTCCCATTTGATGATGTTTTGTTATTGCTATTTATTCTTTACTTTGGCTTGTGGCATACTATATAAACTTACTCATTAAACCACAACTGTGGCAATTGGAGATCATTCTCGGGACCACACAAACCATGGGAAACCATATAGATAAAGCAGGGAGGCAACAAACTTGGAAAAAAAGACTTGACATGCACACATAATGCAAAGAGGTAGTTTCCCACAATATACAAAGAGTACCTAAAAATCAAACAACACGGGGGAAGGAGGCACCTGAGATACCAACCCCTCCCCAGGACCAATTAACAAAAAGGTGGCCATGTTCAAACCAGTAAGCACTCACCATAGCCAAGCAGCAACATTATGTTCATGTTCGACTTGACCTTTCCTATCTCTGAAACTGTGGGAGGCAGATGTGTTTAAACCATCACTGTGTGGCAAGCAGCCTGCACCGGGTCGCCTGCAGTCACCTTAACTCAGAATGAAACTTGCACCTACAAAATGCTTTGGTTGCTATTCTAACGTTGATGTGTGTCTCTCACTTCCTACCAAGGCTAGGGGCTTCTCAGATGCCAAGTGGGCTATTTGGCCTCTGAAAAGACCCAGAAGGGCTGGGAGTCCTCACTCTGGGTTCCCCAGCTAATGAGGAAGAACTGGAGTGGTGAGAGCATGGGCAAGCAGCTCCTGAATGGGGACTTCAGATGGACATTTTTTGTTTGTTTTTCAAGACAGGGTTTCTCTGTATAACCCTGGCTGTCCTGGAACTTACTCTGTAGACCAGGCTGGCCTTGAACTCAGAGATCCACTTGCCTCTGCCTCCAGAGTGCTGGGACTAAAGGCATGTGCCACCACCGCCTGGCCTAATGTGTTGGGGGCACAAAGGTCTTTGTACTCACAGAGAAGCATTAAGGAAAACCAAGAATGTTAAATGCACAAGTGCCTTTTTTTTTTCCTCAATGGAGGAGACAAAATACCTGTTTTCCCACTCAGAAGGCTGGGAGTGGATTTTGTTAATGACCTGGTGACCTTTTTGCTGTCTGTGGAGGTAGATATCACCCATCATTGTTATAGAGGCACACCTCAAACCTAATTTCCCAGAATGATTCCATAATCTTCCTTCCCTAGACCATTTCCCATTCTTAGGGGAGAGGTCACATGTACTTTATGGCCTGCTTCCCTCTATGCTATTGGTCAGAGACCCCACTAGATTCCAGCCCTTTGAGCTATGGAACCCACCCTCATGGTCCCATGCACTTTGTAAGAGTCTATGTAGTCACAGCTTAAGCTTCATTGTGTACCTGGAACTGGACTGACTGGACTCATTGTTGCCTGGAAACCTTTTCCAAATTTTTCTGTTTTCAATATGCTGACAATGACCTAAGTAATGGTGGCGCACATCTTTAACCCAAGATCTTGGGAGGCAGAGGCAGGCAGATCTCTGTGAGTTCAAGACCAGCCTGGTCTACAGAACGAGTTCCAGGACAGCCTCCAAAACAATACAGAGAAACCCTGTCTCAAAAAACCAAAACAAAACAAAAGAACTAAAATGTTTCATATGTATGTATGTATGTATGTATGTATGTATGTATGTATGTATGTTTGACAATGACATTAGACTCCCTGAAGTCTGGTCCAGGTTAATGAAATCAATCTATACTGGGTTTTCATTCTGAACTTGCAGGGACCCCCTCACTAAAGGACACTTTTAAGAGGATTTTTTTTTTTCTCTTCTAGTCAAGGTTTCATGCAACTTAGACTAGCTTCAAACTCACTATGCACTGAAGATGATCCTGAACTCCAAATCCTCCTGCCTCTACCTCCCTAGTGCCTGGGATCAGAGGTGGGCATCACCATGCCCAGTTTGATGTGGTGCTGGGGCTTAATCTGAGGCTCTGTGCATACCAGGCAATCGCTCTCGCAGCGTGTCCAGCCCTTACGATGCTTTCAATCATCAAAACTTCAGGCAGAAGCAAGCCCACCATCAATGACAAGTGTTTGCCTCCCTTGCCTGAAACCTCAGTTTCCAACAGTACAAGGGACTCAGTCAGATTAGCCTGCAGTCAACAAAGGCCATGGCGTGAGAGCCAGAAGGCCTTTCTCATTCAACTGGTTGGTTTGGAAAATAAGGTTTTTTTTTGGTTTTGTTTTTCTAGACAGGGTTTCTCTGTGTATCCCTGACTGTCCTGGAACTCATTCTGTAGACGAGGCTGGTCTCAAATTCTCAGAGATCCACCTGTCTCTGCCTCCTGAGTGCTGGGATTAAAGGCGTGCACCACCACCGCACAGTCAGTTGGCTTTCTTCTATGCCCCAGAAGAAATGATTGGTGGCACATCAATCATTAATCAAGAAAATGCCTCATAGGCTTAACCACAGGCCAGTCTGATGGAAGCATTTCCTCAGTTAAGTCCCTTCCTTCCAGATGACTGTAGCTTGTGTCAAGTTGACAAAAACCAACCAGCACTGGGTGCCGCACTCTTCACCAGTCATCTGACTGAACCCAGGAGAAGTTATGACCTACACCAGGAGAATGTCTCCCAGGGATACACATCCCACAAGCTAACACCCTCCGCCCCCCAGAATGTCAGCTCAGACCATACTTGGAAATAGAGTCCCTCCCAAAGATGCAGTAGCTGGAATGCCAAAAGGACATAAAAACATGGCCAGTCCAGCAAGCACCTGTGGAACGGAGACCTGTCACCTACAGGATGTCACAGGCTGGCCAGGACACCTGGGACCAGTGCCACCACAGTGATGAGAAGCTCCAGAAGCTTGGGTGTGAAGACAGCTACTACTTTCCCCTCCGCTTCTGTACCCGTGAAAACTGGTACTTGTGTGGGCACACCTCTTTCTAGTAATGTGGGAGACTAACCTCCGGCCACCTAGCTCACAAACACCCTGACCACAGCAAACACTCAGGCTGATCTTCTCAGGTCATTTGGGGCCTGCTTGGGAGGTCTGCCTTGAGCTCCTTGGACTCCTTCTCCCTGGGCAAGGGCCTATGGGCCTGGGAGTCTCCGTAGAAAGGAGCTGAGAGTGCAAGGTGGTGGAAGCTCTGAATGGATTTAATGTGCACAATGTTAGCCCTGACCCGGCTGATTTCATCTGCCTCCCTCCTTTTCTTCCTTTCTTTTTTAATTTTAATTTTTATTATTTTTTGGCAGTCTCTCAGCCCAGCCTGGCCTCAGAATTGCTACATAGCCAAGTATGACCTTGAGCTTCTTGATCCTCCTGCTGCCAAGTCTTCAGGCATTGCAGGTATGGACCAACACACCCAACCTTTTGTTTAGTTTTGAGACAGGGTCTCCCCAGCTAACCCTGGCTGCCTGCTATTCCCTATGTAGACCAGGTTAGCTTCAAACTCACAGACATCTGTTTGCCTCTATTTCCAGAGTGCTGCAAAGTACTCTTGAAGGCATGTAGTCCCATATATCCACCTGTGATTTCTATTTGTTTGTTTGTTTGTTTGTTTGTTTATAAAACAGGGACTCACAATATAGACCTAGCCTATATACAAGCTAGGCTCAAATTCTCAATCCTCTTGCTTCAGCCTTAGCAACACTGAGACTGGAAGTGTACATAAAGTGTGGCTTCAGGCCAACAAGGAAAACAAGTACCACAGAAGACTCCCAGGAAACATGAAGGTAGGAGATTCGTTGCCCCTCTATCTGTTGACAGTGGGTGACAGCCAGCTTCAGTCATCACCCTAGTATCTGACCAATGGCACAGCTCTCCCAGGGCAGGTGAGATGGGTAGTAGAGGCTTTGTGAGGATTCAGCATAGATACCCTCTCCCAAGGCTGGCTCAAAGCATCAGAGGCAGGAACTGATTGATGGTGGGCCCCAAATGATGCTGAGCCTCAAGGACGCCACTGACCAGTGTAATGGTTGGTTGGTCACCCTGGGACTCCTGACACTTTAGAGCAGCTGTTCTCAACCTGTGGGTTGAGACCCATTTGGGGTCACATATCAGATATACTGTGTATCAGATATTTGCATTACAATTCGTAACAGCAGCAAAATTACAGTTATGAAGTAGCATTGAAAATAATTTTACAGTTGGGGGATTATCACATGAGGAACTGTATTAAAGGGCCACAGCTTTAAGAAGGTTGAGAACCACTGCTCTTGAGTCATTTGCATCTGTTTAACACCTAGTCAGACTGCATATCACCCAGGTCCTTGCTGCCATCTATTGGTAACAAAACATCCGATTTACCCCACAGGCCTCTCCCTTGCTGCAGCTTAAGTAGCCTAGTAGAGAGGATACAGCCATGTGGTCCTCAGATCTGCTGTCCTGCCTGCCCCATGCAACATAATCCAGAGCAGCCAGCCTGTGGAAACAACGAACACAGCCCGGAGAGGGGTGTCTGTGCAGGAGGCGTCTCTGTAAGATCCAGTAGACACACCCAATGAATATGGCTATGTCCAGGAAATGGCAAGGACTGGAAGCTAGATTTGTAGAATCTGTTCCTCCTGTGGAACGGAGTCAGATGCCCTGTTACCAGGGCAGCAGTGCAGGGTGTTCCTCAGAAGCTGCTAGTGGGGTCAACAGGAGAAACAAACTAACATGGCGTTTGCTGGAAGGCTCCACTGGTCCTGAGGTTACTACTTCACATCCCGGAGAGAGAGGAGCTTGCTGGAACCTGGAGTTGTCCCTGGGCAGTCTTACTGTTCCCATCCCTAGTGGAGACTAAGACAGTATAGGAGGCAAGGCCTGGCTGATTAAGGTAAGGCAACTGGGTCCTGGTTCCCTCAGATGAATGCACTGACCAGTGAGAATGCCAGTTGAGGAGGGCAAAGAAGAGAGAAGATGAATGCTATTCACTGCAACCTTGGAGCCAGTGTCAATGGCCTCCAAGGACCAATGGGCATCCTACCAAGAAGCTCTTCAGTCCCTTTTGCTGATTTTCGTAGGCCACCTCATTGGAGTGTGCGCTTACCGAAGGGTTCAGCTAAGCAGAGTGGCCCCACACCTCCAGTTGCCCTCTTGACATCACCTCTCATCTTGGCTGTGGATGGATATGCAGAAAGTCCCTTTGAAGGTCTCAAGTGACAGCAGACATTATTTTTTAGTATTTTTTATTTTTATTTAGTATACAGTGTTCTGCCTGCACACTAGAAGAGAGCACCAAACTTCATTACAGATGGTTGTGAGCCACTATGTGGTTGCTGGGACTTAAACTCGGGACTTCTAGAAAAATAGCCAGTGCTCTTAATCTCTGAGCCATCTCTCCAGTCCCAGACATCACTTTCTTTCTAGTCCAGGTTCAATACAATAGGTGGTGGTTTGGGAGGTGGACACTAGCACACACAGGGCCACCCAGCGAGGGGCTCCCCTACCACCCCATTCTTGGGACTGGGCAATGCAGTGTACATCTCAGGAGTCTTATGTCACAAGTGACCCCAGTTGTCCCTAAGTGACCTAAGTGGTGGCTTCCCTTCCACTCATTCAAACTTCTCACTTTGCTCCTGAGTAACCCCCAAAATACTCTCACAGAACATCCTGGTCTCAGACTCAGCTTTGGGGATAACTCAATCAGGGCTGAGAGTGACAATTCTCCTGCCTTCCTACATTCCAGCTTAAACATCTTTTCTGTTTTTGTTTTTTATTTTGTTTTGTGTTTTGAGACAGGGTTTCTCTGTGTAGCTTTGGAGCCTATCCTGGCACTCGCTCTGGAGACCAGGCTGGCCTCGAATTCACAGAGATCCACCTGCCTCTGCCTCCCGAGTGCTGGGATTAAAGGCGTGTGCCACCAACGCCTGGCTTAAACATCTTTTCTATACCAACTGTCCTGTACTGTGGTCACTGCTATCCTCTGCCCATACAACTGCCCAGTCTGACTTTCATCTGGGTTCCTGTCCAGCTCCACCCTGCAAGCCAGTGAGGAACCTAAGCACAGCAGCCCCAAGCTGCTGACCCCAGAGTTCTAGAACAAGATACTCTCAGGAAGATGCAGGGGAATGGTGAAGCCCACAGCAGTCCAAGCTTTTGATGACGCTGGAGGGGCCCTGCCCTCTGACACACTAATCTTATTTCTGTCCACAGCTGATTTTCACTGGTGGACTAGAGGGTTCAGAAGATTGAATGATTTGTCCCAGATCATGAACTATAGTTGGGAGACCTGGAGCCAACCTAGGCTGTAGTCTGGGGGTGGGGAGCCAATGTCATGCAGCTATGACAACAAAAGAAATACTCAGGCACATAGGATTTTAAAAACCATTTTAATGTAGTTTTAATAATTTTTGCCTAATCTACCAGATAAATCAAATAAATAGATGCTATACAATCTCTTACCCATCAGTACAAAAATAAAACCACACTCTGCACCTGCTGCCTCTCCCCAGCACATGTCCCAGGGGAAGGCCTGAGCCCCTCCCAACCCCTCCCGATACATTCATGTAGTCTGAACAAGGCTCGAAGCTCATTCTGTGCAAAGGAAGCGAGCGGTCTTGTGCTGAGACCTGGCGGCCAGGTCTGGCTCGCCACTTAAAGCAAAAACCTATACCACCTCACTGACACTGAGCTTCCCCAGTGGGCAGGAGGTGGGAGGAACTTGGCAATGAGATCACCATCTTACCAGATGATAACCACACAGCCCAAACGGGCTCAACTGTGGCACTTCGAGTGTCCACACCAGAGGCTGAGGCACATCTTTATCCCAGCCCACAGTGAGAGAAAAGTACTAGTCAACCTCTACATTCAAATGGGAAAGGGCCAAGGGAAAGATAGGCAGGTGGCCACCACTCCTCAATCTAGTACTGGCCTTGTAGGGGGTTAGTGTGTGTGTGTGTGTGTGTGTGGGGGGGTGGTACTGTCCACTTGGATAGCTTCAGGCCAGGAGAAGACCATGCAGCCTCTCAAAGCCTGCAGCCATTCTCTCTAGGAAGTCAGTCCATAGCCACATGACTGCCCAGAGGGATCTCCAGCTTAGGCCACAATCTCCCCGAGTTAGTGGGTGTCATAAAGGGTCATGTGAGAGAAATGGACACTGCCTGCTGCTAAAGACAGAAGACAGCTGCCCGGAAAGTCCCCTTCTCCCCCAACCACCCAAGCCTCATGATCCAAGTTATACAGGCATTTAGTCTCACGCCACTAAGGACGGGGAGCGTGACATCCACTGGATGCTGTCCCCCAGTATTGTGGACTAGCAAACCACAAAAACTGGCAAAGCAAAGTTTTAGCCACCCACCCTCACCTTCTCTGCCAGGAGCTGGGGCTCCTCCTGACTCTCCCTGCCCTGCCCTACCCCAACATTCTCTAGATTCAGGATAGAAGTGAAGCAAGTCACCACAGGAGACTGCCCCCAATGGAAGAACTGAGTTAACCCTGGACAACTGAGAATTGAGGAGGGGGAGACCACGGACAAACCCCAGACAGACACAGGGTATAGGCTCTTTGGTTTGGGAATGGGAGAGTCTAAGAGTCACCTTAACCTGGCTCCTGCAAACTCTGATGGCCTCCTAAAAACAGAATTGGGGGCTGTTGGGACCCAGCCACACAGGTTCCTGTGATGGCAGGGAGTGAGAGCAATGCGACCTTGACAAGGGAGTTGTCCCTCCTCAGGTAGGAAGGTATTAGCCTATAGGGTACCTGTGCAAACTAGCAAACTTCCCCTCACCAGGAACACAGGCTTGAGTGCAGCAGTTCATAGTTCAATCCCCACAAGGTATGAGGGGCACCCTTAGCTGTGTCATTCAGGTGGGTGGGGAGGGAACACAGAAGACAAGGACTGCCCTGAGAAAGAGAGGGGACACTCCCTCCCTGACTGCCCACACCCACTGGCATCCATGGATACCCAGATCAGCTGAGCTGCAGGAGAGGGCAGAGAGGGGTGGGGTGGGGTGCTGGAAGTCACCTGAGTCTGAAAGAACATGAACTCCTGTGGGAGAAAGGAAGGGCCAAATGTCTGCGATATTGGGTGGAAGCATCTGCACCTTGCATACCTGAAGCCTGGTCCTATCTGTCGCTGAAAGATCAGATGCCACCAGGTCCAGGCTGGGCCCAAGCTGTCTGATCCTGCCACACAGACTGATCCTGTCATGGCAGATGTGCAAGGTGGAGTGAAGGTGCCGTAGCAAGTTCATTTGTGCTGTGAATTACTCCATGTTCACGTGGTCAGTTCTAAAGGTGTGCAAGGTCCATGTGGACAGGTCTAAGACACGGGGCAGGGAGAACACACACAGGCAGTGTGTCCACACTGGGGTGGCTCAATGTGTTCACGGGCATCTACACAGGCCAGTGATGGAGGGAGCAGCACGTTCAGAGAAGGCTTGGTAGGCAGCCTCTTCTCTGGTCCAGGCCACACCCTTCGTCCTGATCCTGTCCCTGGTGGCCAAAGCCAGCCTCCATGTCCCACCACAAAGCTGGAGTAGAAAGTTCATAGTTGAGACCCAAGCCAAGGAACAGGGAGTAGACACCACCAGAGAGCTGGTGACTCCTCAAGGCAAGATCTGGACCTCCTGGGCTCCTCGACCTCTAGGATCAGTCTCTGCAAGATAGTAATAGAGGTGTACTGGGCAGGAGAGAGAGTCCATCACCATCTGGAGATGAGACCCAGGCAACACTGCCTTCCCTCCCTGTCCCAGAGGCCCCTTTGTAAACAACCCTCATGGGGCAAGGGCAGGGTGGTAGGGTCTTCCTCATGCTTCTGCTTTTTTAAAAAAATAAAGTATTTGCCCTGCTCCCAGCCCCTCCTGTCTCTGGAATTCCTCACCCAAGCCCCAAGGGACACAGTTTAAGAGGGGAAGCCGCTGTTCACAGCTTCCCACTTCGGTCTCCACTTCGGTCTCGGAAGAAGCCCTCGGCAGTCTGAGCCTCACGGAAGGTGACGGTGACGGAGTTGGCGGTGATGTCAGTCACGGTCACTTCACTTGAGGGGGGCGTGGGTGTCCAGGGAGGGGGCCCACTGGCCAGGTCTGCTTCTGCTGCTGCAGCCATGGGACAAAGACACAGATGGGCACTGAGTGGTCAGTTAGTAGTGGTGAGCAGCAGGCAGCCCATCCCTCAACATGCTTGATGAAGTTGGATGCTTAGGAGGGCATACGTGCACCTGCCCAGCAGGGGTCAAGCCCAAATCAGTCCTCCCTGTTCCACAGCTGCATGGTCACCAGGCCCTGCCAACAAGGGTCAGGGACCTTTCAGGCTTTGAGGTCTTAGGATGACTGACTGCCTTACCCTCCTCCTCTTCCTCCTCCTCCTCCTCCTCCTCAGGGCGCTGCTCCGTAGGCTCCCAGTCGCCGGTGGGCTGCAGGACATCTGGGGCTGGTGGCTCCTGCAGGGAGAGCTCCCGTCGATGGCTGTGACTCTCCAGGTGGGGCCCGCTGCGTGGCGGGAACTTCTTGTGTGAGAGCCGCAGGTACTTGTGGGCCTTGCACGGCTTGCAGAGCGGGAAGGGCAGGATAGGCACCAAGGGGCCCTTGTCCACCAGCTCAGCTGCCCCCGCCTTGACCACTGCCCCCCCCACCGGGGGCTCCCGCTGCCGAGTGGGCATGTCAGAGAGAAGCAGAGCTCCTCCTTGCCCTTAGCTTTGTGGGAGCTCCGTAGGTCCATGCTGTACAGCTGCTACAGGGGCAAGCCAGGGGCAAGCCAGGGTGCGGTCAGCCCGCCTCCCACTGTGGCTCCTCTGGCTCATGCTATTACTTCCCCAGCGTACCCAAGTCTGTTCCATCTGCACATCCCCTGCCCATGGGCCAGGGCAGACACTGGTCAATCCCCACCCCCGCTGAGCTCAGTCATCCCTCTTGGCCACAGCATGGGCCTTGTCTCCCCAGCCAGGACTGACCCACACCATAGTAGTACACAAGTGTACAAACTGAAAAGTAACCCACAGGAGTAGGGCAGAACTCAGTGGCACAGCGCTTGCCTACCACATGCCAAGGTCCTGGATTTGATTATCGAGTGCTTTGCAAAGTTCAAAATACTAGATTTCTTAAGTTGAGGAGGTTTTTTGCCTTTTAGAGAGGGGTCTTTGCCTCCCAAGGAGCCTTGAAAGCTGAAACCAGCTGTTCAGGGAGATAGCAGAGGCAAAGGGAGATTCTGCTACTGGAATCTAGGGGTAGTCCAGCTGCAGGGCCAGCACCCCACCTGCTCTGTCCTGGGCCTTCTCTGGGAGCTGGGTCTCTGTCTGCCAACTCAACCTCAGTGAAGCAGAGCAGGATGGCACACACACCTAAGGGCTAGAACTCTAGAATGGAGAGTCTGTCTTCCCAACTAAGAGTAAAATTTGCACAGCTCCAAAAAAGAAAAGAAAAAACCCTAGATCAAGACCAAAAAAGATCCCACATTACCCTGGGACAGCATCTTCTGCCATATGCCATCAGAGACCAAGAGCTCCCAGAACAAGAGGAAGTGAGGACACATCCCAGCCCTACAGCCCACCCTGCCCACTAATCATCATGTACATTTGGCGGGGGTCACTGGTAGGAGGAGAAGGCTGCTACAGGGAACCTCAAGGCTTTCCCTGAAGCCAGCCCTCAGGAGACTTCAGGGTTTCACAAGGCATCTCATGGGAAGTTCCTCTGGGTCCTTTGCTATCTCACCCTGCCAGCTCCAGTCAGAGCTGAATTCTACCCTGCTGTGTGACCCTAGGCAAACCCCAAGCCTCAGTGAGCTATAAGTACTTCATCAAAGTGAAAAACAGAACAGAACACAAGTCTGTGTCCAACAGCACTGCCTTCTGGACCTCTGCAGAGTGACTTCAGCCAAGCCCACAAACACACTGGCTTCTTCCTTGCTCTTTGATCACCCACTTGTCTGTGAGGACAAGTCAACTTCCAGCCCTGCCTTACTGGCACATGCAGAGCAACGGAGCAGCCAAGCTTCCTGCCCCAGGCCTGAACCATCCTGAATGGATCTGAGGCTAAGATCACTCCGCAACCAGCTGAGGCAGTACCACAACACCTTCTGGACCCACAGAGACCATATAATATAATAGTTCCATTTTCAAGTTGCTGTATGGGGTAGCTTGTCACACGGCGGTGGATGTCTGATACAACCACCCTGTTTAGATATTGAGAGGGAACATGTCCAGTTGTGATGTGTGCTGGGTGCTTGTTTAGCAAAGGTCACTTTCCTTCATAGGGCCAGTTTATGACAAACCCCATGGGTCATCCACTAAAGAGAACCTGAGATAATCCAGCACCAGGAGTGGTTAAACACATACAAACTACATGCTCAGATGGGCCTTATGAAACCAAGAACACACACTTTCCTCTACCCCCTTATAGGTGAGAAAACATTCAGACCTGCCCAGAATCACTGAACCATGTGGCTTCACACTCTTTTGGCTTCTATGCCAAGGCTTAAGACATCCTGAGAATGAGCAGAAACCTCTATAAGGCAGGACAACATAGGCTTCATGGTCTTCTCCCCACTCAGAGACATGGTTCTATGAGTCTGCTGTGCCAAGATCATGTTCAGCATGCTAAGGGTGTCCAGTTCTTGAATGTGGCAACCCTAGCCTGCCACACTTCTTTAACCCTAAGACCCTAGGTTACTTTGTGTTTAGATATGGCTTATTTACAGTATTTCAAGCTCTCAAAAACTGGCTACATGTCTACCCCAACACAGGCTGTCTTCCCTGGCTCCAATTCCACATGTGGCCTTTATGCAACTACTGAAACGTACCCATGGCCAGTAGTTCCACAGTACTGGGTGGTGCTGGGTAGGGTGAGTAAGTGAGCTTGAGGACCAGTGCACATGCAGGTGGGGGCAGGCAGGGCAGGAAGAGGGGGGGGGCTCAGAAACAGTGGTTACCTGCAGCGGAAGCCGCTTGGGTTTCGGACCTCTCTTCCTATACCCTGATGCTCGATCTCTCTCCTCCCTGGGAGTATGAAGAAGGTGGCAGAAGAAAAAGAAATACTGGTGACATCTAAGAGGAAGCACCCCCCCATGTGCCTGGGTTGAGGACATAGGCCACCCCATACACCCCCCATTGGGGTCAACATTCAACTTCCAGGACTCAGCCTTTACTCTGAAAACATCCAGGTCCTTGTTCCACTCCAGGGCCACACTGCCTATGGTATGGAGGACCCCATAAGAATGGAGCTCTGCTATTTACTCTCACTCAGCAAGAATCCAGTTGGTCTTGAGTGTCTTGGGGCACTAAGGACCATAGCAAGTTCCTTGGCAAGGGGAGTTCGACCCAGCCAATCCATTTGGGACCTATTGGAATCCGAAGAGAAAGGGCCCCACCTCACCTGAGTAGGGGATGGGAAAGAGTGCCCTGCTAGGTGCCATCCTTACAAAGCCACCCTCAACCAAGATTCCACATGGCAGTGTCAAAGACATGGAGACACTACATCCTCTTTGGCTGTCTGTCCACTCATTCTCCTGTAACCCCACCACCAAGACCTCATAGACAGCACAAAGAAGATAGAGCTGGGAACTCACTCATTCTCCATTAATGCTGGGAGACCGTAGGCCACCTCTCATCTGGGCTATCCATAAACATAAACCAATCTTCCCCAAATGTCTTAAATTGCTCTTCTTGGTGGCAGCTGCCACACCCCTGCCAGGCAATGATCTCCTGATTTGAGGAGTGGGCACCTGGCCTTGACTGTTCCTGCTGCTTTCTTTGCCACAATCTAAGATAGTCCCCACATCCAAGCTTGTGGCACACGTCTATAATTCCTTCCAGCACTTGGGAGGCAGAGGCAAGAGGATTGCCACATATAAGGCCTGCCAGGTCTATATAGTGAGTTTCAAGCTAGTCAGGACTATATAGTGAGACCCTGTATCACAAAACCAAGACAATATATAGGACTCTCTCAGTGACACAACCCTTTAGACCAGTGCTTCTCAATCTTCTTAATGCTTCAACCCTTTAACACAGTTCCTCAGGTTATGGTGATCTAAAACCATAAAATTATTTTCATTGCTTTATCATAACTGTAATTTTGTTACTATTATAAATCATAATGTAAATATCTGTGTTTTCCAATGGTCTTAGGTGACTCCTGTAAAATTGTTGTTTGACTCCCAAAGGGATCATAACCCACAGGTTGAAAACCACTGCTTTAGCCCAAGATCTCACCAAGAAGCAGGGAGAGCAGACAGAAACTGTGGGACAGGAAGACTATCATAACGAGTTAAGAGCAATGATGAAGGGCTGGAGAAATGACTCAGCAGTTAAGAGTACTGGCTGCTCTTGTAGAAAACTCAAATTCCCAGCACCCATATGAGAGCTCTCAGACCATTAGTAAACTCCAGTTCTAGGGGGATATGACGCCCTCTTTTGGCCTCTAGAGGTACTAGAGGCATGCACATGGAACATTCACACATATACATAAAATTAAATAAATATTAAAAAGAGCAATGGTCTCTTCCCTTTGCCTCTGCCATCGTGTACTATGGCTTCTCGATATGCCTTCTCACAAGACTTTCAGAATCAAATGAGTCCTGGCCAAGAGACAAAAACAAAACTAACTGTCCTATTCCTCAATGGATTCAGATGGAAACTGGTAACAAAATCAGGTACAACTGCAAGAGAAGACACTGGAGGAGAATAAGGCTGGGTCTGTAAGGAGTTACACAATGGCAAGACTGAGAGTTGACAGTGAGTTGTAGTCATTGATCAAGCCTACAAGATGGAGTTCAACATTTTTAACATGGAGACCCGGTCATGTTTAAGTTGGGGGAGTGGTCTGTCCAGTAATAAAACGTAGTCTTAAAAAAAAAAAGAACAATGGTCTCAAAAAAAAAAAAAAAAAAAAAAAAAAAAAAAAAAAAAAAACCCACACAACAAAGGGAACAATGAAGACACAACCTTTGAATCTCTGAATGTGCTTCCAGAAGCCTTTGGGGAGAAGCAATCTGGTAGCAATGATGGGCTGATCAGGTCATGCCCTTACTGTCCTATCCCTGTTCCTGTTGGCAAAGCTCCTGGACAAACTGTCTAACTGCTCAGGGGGTTTAGATTCCTCATTCCAATGACACCCTCCTTCCTGTGTCAAGAGATTACCATGAAGTGGCCAGGCATTGGTGGCGCACACCTTTAATCCCAGCACTCAGGAGGCAGACAGATCTCTGTGAGTTCAAGGCCAGCCTGGTGTACACAGAATCCCAGGATAGCCAGGGCTACAAAGAGAAACCCTGTCTCAAAAACAAACAAACAAATAAAAGCAAAATAAAATAAAAACAGACAAACAACAGCAAAAGCAGTTGTAAGAACTAGACACAGTAGCACACACCCTAAGTCCAGAAAGTAGGAGAAAGAAGAAAGTGGATGAGCCACAAGTCCAGGTAGGCCAAGGCTACAGGGCGAAAACTGGACTCTGTAAAAACAGGCATGGGGTAGGGGACCCTGTTGAGATCTTTCAGTTAGTAAACAGCTCATTGCTAAGTCTGACAACCTGAGTTCTATCCCTGGGATCCACAGGGTGGGAGAGAACTAATACAAGTTACCCTTTAATCTTCATAAATGCACAGTGGTACTCGTGTGTGTGTGTGTGTGTGTGTGTGTGTGTGTGTGTGTGTGTGTGTTACACAAATGTTAACTTTAAAAAAGTAACAGTTGTGCCACACTCCATGGTCCAGGTGGATCACGACTCTCAACAAGGTGCTAACAGGAGGTCAGAGGCCAAGCTGGAAGCCTTCTTCACATCCCTGGCCTTGCTTGACCTCATCAGACTTCCTTCTTTGACAGGGAGTCCGATACTGTCATTCCCACATGGGATGCATCTATCTGTCAGTGCTTCTGAATGAATCCTCAGCCTGGGACTAGGGAGACACCAACAGGACACAGGAACAGGGTTAGGTGCCCATCACCTTTCCCTGCCACACACCCCTAACCCACACCCTGCCCTAAAAGACTCTTGCCCGGGGCCAAGCCACCACCAGGCTTCCTGAGTTGTCTTGGAGCTGGCCTCAGGCCAGGCCCCAAACAGGCAAGCCCTTACTTCTCCTCGTAGGCCATGACAAGGCGGGGATCCAGGATGTGCTCCTCTGGCTCCCATGTGCTGTACCTGGGGAGAAGAACAAAAGGTCAGTGATGCCCTGCCATCACCAGTGTCATAGAGGCTGTACTCTGTACCAGCCTATCATCTAGCCTTGGCCAGATGTGAGATCTGAGAGCCTTACCGTAGGCTTTTTCTGTAGGTGCTGGGATTTGAACTCAGTTCTCCACCGTTGTGTAGTGAGCATTTTACAGACTTTTTACATTTTACTCCACACTTTTTATTATTTAGAGGTCTTTATTTTTATTTTGTATCACAACTCCCCTCATTTGTGCCACACTGTAATCAGACTTCTACTACAGACTCCAATTAGATCTACTGTCCTCCTGAGGACTACGGGTGCCTCTGTTCCCCATCTCACAGCCTGGCAGGGGCTCCAGGGCTAGCCTATCTGGGTTCAAATACCAGCTCTGACCCTCGCTGACTGTATAACCTTGAGCTATGTACTCTGTAGCCCTGTGCTTCCCTGTCCCTCTCTGTGAAGAACTCAAGCACTGACTAAAGGTCTCGGGGCTATTGAGTGTAGTACCTGGCAGAGAGAGAGGGTTTTGCTATCTGTGGTTTTTATGTCTCTCGGTCCCAGCCCCAGCCATCAAGCAAGGACTGCAGCCCTTTTTCCCTGAGCTTAGCCCACAACAGGTGTCTGGTAAACATCTAGTGATAACAAGTATCTTAAAAACAAAAACAAAAATAAATTTCTAAAGCAGTAAGTGGGAATACAAGTAGAATTTTTTTTTTTTTTGCTCTTTCTGAAACAGAGTTTCTCTGTGTAGTCCTGGCTGTCCTGGAACTTGCCCTGTAGACCAGGCTAGCCTTGTCAGAAATCAACCTGACTCTGCCTTGTGAGTGCTGGGATTAAAGGCGCATACCACCACCAAAAAATAAAAATGGATAGATGGATGCCTGGGTGTGCTGGTCTACATACTGAGTTCCAAGCCAGCCAGAACTACATAATGAGAACCCGTCTCAAAAACAACAACAATAACAACAACAAACAAACAAAACCAAACCATGCTCAATTATACCATTCCTAGGCATGTACTGAAAAGACTGATCTGTGTTCATTTCTGCTCTATTCATCATAGTTAGGAAATGGAACCAGCCTAGATGTTCATCAAGTAATGAACAGATAGTGAAATGTGGCACACATATGTAATGGAATTTTATTCAGATGTAAAGAAAAATTAAAGTACAAAATTTACAGGAAAATGGATGGAAGTAGAAAATACACTAAATGAAGTAAACCAGGTACAGAAAGACAAACACCTCATGCTCTCATATAGATGGAGCCTAGCTGCAGATTTTCTTTATTTTTTTCTTTGTTTGGTTTTTCGAGACAGGGTTTCTCTGTGTAGCTTTGGAGCCTGTCCTGGAACTAGCTCTTGTAGACCAGGTTGGTCTTGAACTCCGAGATCTGCCTGCCTCTGCCTCCCAAGTGCTGGGATTAAAGGCATGTGCCACCACCGCCCTGCCCTAGCTACAGATTTTCAAATTTGTTTTAATTCAGTGTGTGAAGGTCAGGAAACTAGGAAGATCCCAGGAGACAGAGGGAAAGAAATGGGAGGGGCAGAACAGAACCCAAGCATCCAAGTTGAGCAGAGTGCCAGGGGTGGAAGGTTTAAGTGGGGATGAGAGGAAGGGATGGGGGAGTTAATCAAAACTTACAGATGTCTGAAAAGTTAATGCAAAACCCACTCATCTGTAAGCTAAATTTTGGGTTTTTGTTTTTGAGACAGGGTTTCTCTGTGTTGTCCTGGCTGTCCTGGAACTCACTCTGTAGACCAGGCTGGCCTCGAACTCAGAGATCCACCTGCTTCTGCTTCCCGAGTGCTGGGGTAAGCTATTTTTTAAAAAACAGAGGTTGGAGATGGCTCAGCTGTTAAGAGCATGGGCTGCTCTTGCAGAAAGCAAGAATTCAGTTCCCAGCACCCATGTCAGGTAGCTCACAACTACTTGTACCACATAGCTGGAGGGTGGGGGAAAGGGGAGTGTGTGTGTGTGTATGGGGTTCTATGCCCTTTTCTGGTCTCCTTGGGCACCTGCACTCATGTGCACGTAACCACACGTATACACAGAACTACTACTAATAATAATAAAATCAAGTAAATATATCTTAAAGGAAGATTAAGGGTTGGTAAAGGCACTTGCTGCCCAACTTGACAATTTGAGTTTGATCCCTAGTACCTACCAGGTAGATGGAGAGAACCAAGTTGTACTCTAACCATCACAGTGAGATTCAAATGCACCTTCCCACAAGTACACACCGTGTACGTACACACACACACACACACACACACACACACACAATATTTTGCAAGACACCATTGTGAATGGGGGTATCCTACATGAGTGGATGCTGCTGTTCCCAGAAAGCAGAGGTTATTTAATGAAAATGGCAGTGCCAGTAATGAGAGGCCTCCCTATGAGATGTTTGATAAGAAGGTCTGAGGGCCCAAAACAAAACAGGTTATTGTCACTGTTCTTGGTTGCCCAACAAAATTAGGTGGTAGGACCCTAATGTTGAAGACCCAATGTATTTTGATTATAGGACATAGATCATCAAGCTAAAACTGACCCGGGGGCTTCTTCTTGGTTAGTTTTCATAGTTCTGAAAAGTACCATGCAGGCTGCTTGCTATCATATTGACCTGCTTGGCAAGATGCTGTCAATGTTGTAACCGAGGCGTAAATGGTAAGTAACCAACTGCTTTCTGATTTGACTTGAGGCCAACTCCACAAGACAAATTTATGTCTGGGGCTGTAAGCCTGGTTAAAATACCATAGGAGAAGTTGGGCAGTGGTGGTGCACATCTTTAATTCCAGCACTCAGGAACCAGAGGCAGGTGGAACTCTGTGAGTTCATTCTGAGAAACCCTGTGTCAAGAAACCAAAAAAAAAAGAAAAAAGGCCCATGGAAGGGAAATCATAACCCCTAAAAGGGAACCTATCAGGTGTTTTGCTGAAGGGACATGCTGTCAAAGTGTCTTCTAAGCATTTGTTTATACCCATAGACCTATGCTGTTCTCAACCTTAGAGAAACTACTTTTTGCAGTAGGCAGAACAATGCAGACTCAAAAATGGTTAAAGTGCCAGGCATGGTGGCACGTGCCTTTAGCCCCAGCACTCAGGAGGCAGAGGCAGGCGGATCTCTACGAGTTTGAGGCCAGTCTGATCTACAGAGTGAGTTCTAGGATAACCAAGGCTATTGCACAGAGAAATGTGGAATAGAGTATTTGTTTGTAAAGATGTATTGCTGTTTCACCTTGCCTGCCTAAGGCACCTGACTGGTCTAATAAAGAGGTAAATGGCCAATAGCTAGGCAGAGGAGGGCTAGGTGGGGCTAGTGCACAAAGATAAAAGGGGAGCCAGCCAGATGGACATGAAGGAAGCTGAAAAGCAGGATGGACAGTATGCAGATGAGGTAAAGGAGTCTCGGGGCAGCACACAGATTAATAGAAATGGGTTAAGTTATAAAAGCTAGCTAGAAACAAGCCTAAGCTAAAGGCCAAGCATTCATAATTAATAAGTTTCTGAGTCATGGTGTGGGGGCTGGCAGTCCAAGAAAGCCTGCTACAGAAAAACACAAAACAAAACACAAAGGTCTAAGTGCTAAGAATAAGTTATAGTTTGAGTGCTCAGCCCTAAATGGACATCTATATTAGCTCCCCCCACCAAAAATCTAAGGAAACATCACATAAAGGCAGGCAGAAAGATATAAGAGGCAGAGGATAAGGAGGGTTGTAAGATGCTGTCCTAGACACAACATGGCTACCATATCCCTGTACTCACAGGAGCTGTAGCTATTTGTATAAAATGGAGCCTGGCAACATTATACTATAGATGAGGGTGCAGCACACAAAACTATGCCCTTAGCTGAGGAACCACTGGCAGTCCATAGCTTCTAGGAAAGAAGTCATTTTTCTTCAGAGATGTGTCTACTGGTAAGACACCCATGAAACCCCACATCCATGTATAAGCAATCACAATTAAAACTCAGGGACTATAAATATATGCACACACACAAACATGGGGACACACTGGGAAGAACGGTTCTAATAAAAGATGAAAGGGAACTGGAAACCAGGTGCACGCCTTTAATTCCAGCACTCCCAAGGTAGAGGCAGGGTTTCTGAGTCCTGGAGTTCCCTCTGGAGACCAGGTTGGCTTCCAACTCCAGAGATCCACCTGCCTCTGCCTTCTTAGTGCTGGGATTAAAGGCTTGCACCACCATGCTCAGTGCTATATAATTAAAAAAAAAAAAATAGACCAAGGCCATGTCCAAGGTCCTCCTGGAGAAAGCAGACAACTGGCTCAAGTCAGCCCCAGGTGTTCTAGGAAATCTGCTGAGCTGACCTCAACCAGGGCAAGTGAAACTCATGCCTTCTGCCCAATAAAGGGAGAGCCAGTCTGCCCACTGTACCCTCTCTGCCTGCTCACCCTCTCTGGCTTGCCCTGCCCACCTTCAGGCCCATTCCTTACTGCTGCAGCTACTATATGATTCCCAGAAAGTCTATCTGCACCTCATCTAAAGAACTGCTTCCACTGTCTGTCACAAATGCACCAGGCTACTCTGAGGAATCCCCCATTATTTCACCGAAGCAGGTTCCTAAATAATCACTCCAGTTTACAAGATGAAAAAGCAGAGGCATAGCGATTGAGCAACTTGCCCAAGGCAACCTCGTTGGGCTCCCCACAAACTGGAGCATCCCTGGGGCAGGATTACTGCCTATATCTAGGCACTTTTAGCCCTACAAGCTGTGAAATCACAGAAACGGGAGCAGCAGGAGGAATGGAGGTGGGAAAAACGCTAAACCCTCCCCCCGCCCTGCAAAGTGAAGCAGCAGGGTCTTGCAGAAGGGTCCAAAACTGGCTACAAAGTGCCTCTGTAAGGATCTAGTGCACTTAGAGATCGCTCTCCCAGGGCGAGGGTGGGGAGCCCAGATCACTGGAAACCTATCTGGGCGGGGCATGCCCTCCTGCTGGAGATAAACACGACCACGTGACCATGGCCCCGCCCCCTCACGGTAAACAAGCTCCGCCAGCGTCCCAGCCCCTGAGAGAGCCGGGGTCAGACGATTGGGGTGGGGCGCCAGCACCCCAAGCAAGACAGGTCGCCTGGCCCTAGCCTGCTGTTCCAGGGTGGGGGAGGGTACTGCGTAGCTCTACGCAGAAACCGGGCGAGCAGGAGCCACGCGGAGACGGGCCAGCGGCAGCTCCAGCTCCATGACTCTAGTTTCAACCGCCCCAACTGCTGAAGCTCATTCTAAACCGGGTCTTCCTGTAATCCCTTAGCTTTTAGTTGTAGAGAAGATTCGACGTGTTAAGCCACATGACCCACATACTTGATTGTGGTGCATAATAAAATCCAAGTAGCGTTCATTAAACCAGCTTCAGAAGCATAGGAGTTGCAGGCATGATTGCCAGGGCTAAACCAGGCTTCTGGGCCTAGAGAGGGAGGCTCTGTATCTGTCTGCCAGGGTGCATTAGTGACTCCTAGCGGGCTTCATTTACACACGAGGCACAGCCAAGTTAAAGAGTTTTTCCTCGGATTACTGCTTGTCAATCATAACCAAAGTTCATAAGGAGGCATGATGGTCTGACACTAGAAAAGCTAACAAGACACACCAGGGCCCCTGTAGTGGCGCTGGCCATGTATACCAGGGGTAGATCAGAATCTCAAATAAGGACTCTCCATCTGTAAAGTGGGTGATGTCTGGCTCATACTGGGGCTCTCACACTGGCAGCTTGATAAATGACGTCAGTCTTTCTGAAAAGATGGAGCTATATGCGTGTGAAGATAGAGAGCAGTAGGGTGCTGGGCAGGCAGAGGGAAAAATGGAGTACCCACATGTCTCTGAGGCAAACAGAGCACCTGTAGCAACACCCTCTGCCTAATGCCCCCAGGAGATCCAAAAGTCTAGCACATTCACCGGGAAGAAAATGGGCAGGAACAAAATGGCTCTGCAGTGGCCTAGCAAAGGTACCTTCCTGTAGCTGAGGAGGGTAGCTACAAAATGGGAGGACCTCACCCTGGCCAGACTCCCGGGTCAGGCCACATTTCTCAGCCTCTGCTTGAAGTCAGTGCCCTGAAAACCAGCGGGACCTGACCCACACAGGTGGCAGGCATCATATGAAAAGGACATTGTGAGGTGGGGGTTAGCAGTTATGTTCCTGTAATGACCTACTCTGAGCCTCAGTTTCTCCATCTGAAAAGACCATATTATTCTAAGAAAACTTAAAACTCCTATTTGGAATGAAGTCTTTCCAACACAAAAACAGCCCGAAGGCCCACTCAGCTAACCCTGTACTAGTAGTTCAACTCTCAGAACACTGGTTCTGTGAGAGGCTTTCGGGGGGTTCAGTATTAAAGACCAACAGGTACGGGCTGAGGAGTTGCCCAAGGGCTCCTAAGAACCCACTGGGCAGCCAGGCCTGAAATATAGAAGCAAAGAAAACAGAAGGTATCACCCTCAGGTGATCTAGTCAAAAGGCTTCAGGTGAAATAGGAGAGCTCTCAAGGCCCTCATTCCCCTTCTCCTCAGGAGAAGTTCTTGATGTGGTCAGCAGCAGCTAGTTAGCTGCATGTGCACAGCAGACTGAGCCCTGTTCAGGTTCACTCCCCCTTTGCCACTTTGCCCAAGCCAGATGACCACTAGTGGTCAGTGGAGGGCCATTCGAGAAAAATGGGGTAGAGCAAGGAAGGGGTCATCAGCATACCACCTGGATGCCTGTGGTCTACCCTGAACCACTGTCCAGGCCTCTTTCACCTTGCCAGGATAAGAAGCCTGTAAGAGAAGTGAAGTCCCAGGCCACTGAACCCACTTGGTAGAGGAGGAAGCTGAGGCGTTTGGGGACTGACTTCCCCTCTTCCCAGCATCCCTCCTCCAGGATACCCCAGGGCACAATCACAGGTCCGCCCTCTTCCACCCCCCTCCCCCAACACACACACAAGAGCAGAAGAAAGTTCCAGGGCTATCAGAGCCATCAGGAAAGCTGAGGGAGTTTCCAGAAGCCAGTCTCTAGGAGGCAGGGCAGAGCATCCACAAACCAATAGAAAGGTCCTGTATCTAGCCTGTTCCCAACCCCAACAGCTCTTTGCTGGGAGGTGACTGGTTAGAGAGAAGGTTCCTCATCAGGCTTCAACACCAGAGGCCCACTAGCTGTACTAGGTATCATACCTAGCTCTCACTATTCCACAACACCAGGAAAGAATATTGGGAAGACACAGAGGAGAGGCCTGAATAAATGGTCAGGCTTAGTTCAAGTCCCAGCTCTGTCTTCCCTTGCTGTATGGCCTGAGGCAAGTCCCTTCTGTCTCAGACTCCATTTCCTCACCTGAAGAGCTCAGAATCACACCCACTTAAAAAGAATGCCTGTAAACTTACTCTGTAGACAAGAGAGTACCATCTAAATACAAGATGACCAGGTTCTACCCCTCCCTAGGCCACTGCACTGACTACCGGGGATCCACTGCCCAAGGTTCCCATCTCACCTAGCACTGTACCTGTTCCACATGGGGGACCCCCTCACTTGGCCAGCAGCCATTGAGGGAGCCAGGGTGCTAGGTAGGCCTTAACTCCCATGGCCAGAAGAAGGGGACAGGATAAGGAGAGGAGCACAAAACCCCTAGCAGAGGGGACCTGAGGCCTCGGAAAGCTGGTGATTTTGTCAGGATTTGCTGTTCAGTCATAAAAGCACCAGGAGCTGAAGCCATTGTGGGGAGGAGATGACAGGCAGGGGACACACACAGGAGGCTTACTTGGGGGGCCATCCTTTCCACTTCACCAGATACTCGACTTTGCCCTGTGGGGGAGAAAAAAAAGACAGTGAGGTACACACACCCCTTACAACCACCTGCAGGACAACAAGGGCCAAAGGACTCTCTGCAACAGTACAGTACTACCAACCTATGAATGGCAAGGCTCTCTCTCTACCAGAAACAACTCCCCCAAACTCTCACTACTACATGACCATCCCATAGCCCTCCCCCTGTCCCAGACATCCGTGGAATCCAAGACAGGCGCTCATGTCACAGCGGGAACCTGAGACCACGTGGAAGCATGCATACATAGTCATGCACAGTGGCTGAAGTCCCAAGCCAAGACCCTAGCTTTCCTCTCTTGGAGGCTGCCCAGCAGGACCCCACTAAAAGGCGTCCAGCCCTTCCTCCTTGTTGGAAACTGGACTCTCAAGGGAAAGAGACTCCAGCCAATGCTCATGTACTGGCTGAAGCGTATCCATATGAAAGCTTTGAGATTCATTCGTAGTACCTTGTCCAAGTTCTCCTCCCTAGCACCACACAGTGGACAGTTCTTTATGAGAATCACCTTGTCCGCCAAAGGCATCTGTATTTACTTCCTCCTTCATCCTGCCTGCACCTGTGTCCTTGCCAGAATACCAACCGAAAAAAAAAGAGAGCTTTGGGCTCAGAGTGGTATCTAAAACAGCTGCCTCCGTATAGGTTTGTAGTGCAGGGCTGAGCGAATTAAGTGTTCCCTTTTTGACCTGCCCCTGTGCCCTGTTGGGGGACATGATGGCTATACCTGCTTCAGTCTAGAACCCTGGGAAGGCAGATCTAACCAACAGTCACAGACCCAAGCCACCCTCTCTGGGCCCACCCAAACCGGCCTGCTGAGGATCCCACAGCAGGTGCCTGCACTTCAGTCAAGTGGGAGAATGTGGCTCTCAAGAGCTTCTCAAGGAGTTGCAGGGAGAAAAGGGAAGGGGACCTCCTGTAGATCCAGGAGCAATTTTTTCCATGCATTTGCCCAGATCCAAGTTCACTCTGGGATGAGCTCCTCAGCAAGCACGTGCACAAAGA